ACAAACGGATGGCAGTGTCGCATATTGATAAGTGTGATGACAACAAGCTTATGAATAGCACCGGAAACAAAATCTACAATATTCTACAAACCGATGGCATAACACGTGTAGTGTATGCACATCACATCTATGAAATTCTGCTAACACGATGGCATGACACGTGTAGTGTATGCTCATCACACCTAAAAAAAAAAAAAAACAAAATTTACTAAAAGATGGCATGACACGTGTAGTGTATGCACATCACATCTATGAAATTCTGCTAACACGATGGCATGACACGTGTAGTGTATGCTCATCACACCTAAAAAAAAAAAAAAACAAAATTTACTAAAAGATGGCATGACACGTGTAGTGTATGCACATCACATCTATGAAATTCTGCTAACACGATGGCATGACACGTGTAGTGTATGCTCATCACACCTAAAAAAAAAAAAAAAAAAACAAAATTTACTAAAAGATGGCATGACACGTGTAGTGTATGCTCATCACACCTAAAAAAAAAAAAAAAAACAAAATTTACTAAAAGATGGCATGACACGTGTAGTGTATGCACATCACATCTATGAAATTCTGCTAACACGATGGCATGACACGTGTAGTGTATGCTCATCACACCTAAAAAAAAAAAAAAAAAAACAAAATTTACTAAAAGATGGCATGACACGTGTAGTGTATGCTCATCACACCTAAAAAAAAAAAAAAAAAACAAAATTTACTAAAAGATGGCATGACACGTGTAGTGTATGCACATCACATCTATGAAATTCTGCTAACACGATGGCATGACACGTGTAGTGTATGCTCATCACATCTAAAAAAAAAAAAAAAAAAACAAAATTTACTAAAAGATGGCATGACACGTGTAGTGTATGCACATCACATCTATGAAATTCTGCTAACACGATGGCATGACACGTGTAGTGTATGCTCATCACACCTAAAAAAAAAAAAAAAAAACAAAATTTACTAAAAGATGGCATGACACGTGTAGTGTATGCACATCACATCTATGAAATTCTGCTAACACGATGGCATGACACGTGTAGTGTATGCTCATCACACCTAAAAAAAAAAAAAAACAAAATTTACTAAAAGATGGCATGACACGTGTAGTGTATGCACATCACATCTATGAAATTCTGCTAACACGATGGCATGACACGTGTAGTGTATGCTCATCACACCTAAAAAAAAAAAAAAAACAAAATTTACTAAAAGATGGCATGACACGTGTAGTGTATGCTCATCACACCTAAAAAAAAAAAAAAAAACAAAATTTACTAAAAGATGGCATGACACGTGTAGTGTATGCACATCACATCTATGAAATTCTGCTAACACGATGGCATGACACGTGTAGTGTATGCTCATCACACCTAAAAAAAAAAAAAAACAAAATTTACTAAAAGATGGCATGACACGTGTAGTGTATGCTCATCACACCTAAAAAAAAAAAAAAAAACAAAATTTACTAAAAGATGGCATGACACGTGTAGTGTATGCACATCACATCTATGAAATTCTGCTAACACGATGGCATGACACGTGTAGTGTATGCTCATCACACCTAAAAAAAAAAAAAAAAACAAAATTTACTAAAAGATGGCATGACACGTGTAGTGTATGCACATCACATCTATGAAATTCTGCTAACACGATGGCATGACACGTGTAGTGTATGCTCATCACACCTAAAAAAAAAAAAAAAAAACAAAATTTACTAAAAGATGGCATGACACGTGTAGTGTATGCACATCACATCTATGAAATTCTGCTAACACGATGGCATGACACGTGTAGTGTATGCTCATCACACCTAAAAAAAAAAAAAAAACAAAATTTACTAAAAGATGGCATGACACGTGTAGTGTATGCACATCACATCTATGAAATTCTGCTAACACGATGGCATGACACGTGTAGTGTATGCTCATCACACCTAAAAAAAAAAAAAAAACAAAATTTACTAAAAGATGGCATGACACGTGTAGTGTATGCACATCACATCTATGAAATTCTGCTAACACGATGGCATGACACGTGTAGTGTATGCTCATCACACCTAAAAAAAAAAAAAAAACAAAATTTACTAAAAGATGGCATGACACGTGTAGTGTATGCACATCACATCTATGAAATTCTGCTAACACGATGGCATGACACGTGTAGTGTATGCTCATCACACCTAAAAAAAAAAAAAAAACAAAATTTACTAAAAGATGGCATGACACGTGTAGTGTATGCACATCACATCTATGAAATTCTGCTAACACGATGGCATGACACGTGTAGTGTATGCTCATCACACCTAAAAAAAAAAAAAAAAAACAAAATTTACTAAAAGATGGCATGACACGTGTAGTGTATGCACATCACATCTATGAAATTCTGCTAACACGATGGCATGACACGTGTAGTGTATGCTCATCACACCTAAAAAAAAAAAAAAAAAACAAAATTTACTAAAAGATGGCATGACACGTGTAGTGTATGCACATCACATCTATGAAATTCTGCTAACACGATGGCATGACACGTGTAGTGTATGCTCATCACACCTAAAAAAAAAAAAAAAACAAAATTTACTAAAAGATGGCATGACACGTGTAGTGTATGCACATCACATCTATGAAATTCTGCTAACACGATGGCATGACACGTGTAGTGTATGCTCATCACACCTAAAAAAAAAAAAAAAAACAAAATTTACTAAAAGATGGCATGACACGTGTAGTGTATGCACATCACATCTATGAAATTCTGCTAACACGATGGCATGACACGTGTAGTGTATGCTCATCACACCTAAAAAAAAAAAAAAAAAACAAAATTTACTAAAAGATGGCATGACACGTGTAGTGTATGCTCATCACATCTACAAAAAAAAAAAAAAAAACAACAAAATCTAAAATAAGATGGCATGACACGTGTAGTGTATGCTCATCACATCTACAAAAAAAAAAAAAACAACAAAATCTAAAATAAGATGGCATGACACGTGTAGTGTATGCTCATCACATCTACAAAAAAAAAAAAAAAAACAAAATCTACAAAAAGATGGCATGACACGTGTAGTGTATGCACATCACGACATCAACAAAATTCTGCAACTACAAAAGTAATTAAAATAATAATAATTTCAGATTTGATGCATCTCTGATTGGATCTCAACTCCTCATGATAGCGAGACGTTGGCGCTGAGCACGCACCAACCGTCAGTATGGCCGTGTCGCGCCGGGAGATTCATCATACCAAGAAAAGAAGCCTTTCCGCGAATTCGTTTAAGTTTTAATAATTGTTCTAAGAAACCATTGTAAATGTTTTCAAATTACCCACTTCATCAATGTAAATAGTCTTAACAAAATATCAGGTGATTATTTTTGTTCAAGTACCTACAATTGTAAAACAGAATCTACCATATAAAAGGCCGAGCATAATCATACTGAATTAATTCTACATTGGTCGCTCTTAGGGGTCACTCTGGTAGAATCTCTGCTAAACAATTCTTGAGTCATTGTGGGAATTTGTTAAGCAATAAACGAGTAACATTATAAGTAAAGACCCTCTTTTCTTTAAAATGGAAACCCGTGCTACGTCGCCGATATACTAAACGCCCGGACCCGAAAGCCTTTCAAGGTACTAGGCTCTTGGTCTCTTCCACGAGGATCCCCTCGCTCTCACATATACATCTCAGCAATATTTTATCTAAATAAATTATAAAAACTCATAATAATTCACATAAATCTAAAATAAATAACAAAATCGATTGTTCTCATAAGCTTATTATAGACGGATATGTTTGATACAAAAAAAATCATAACTTAAGATTAACTTACAATAACATAAAAAATTGTAATAAATTGACAGAAAAATTATCGAAAGATATTTGAATAATGCTGATATTGCATTAATTAAATCAAAATTTTTCAAATTTACTTATATAAGGTTTGTTTGACAGATGCTACAATAAAGATATGTGACAAACGGAGAGTACATAGAATGACAATATGTTTTAGGAATGTCCATAAATTGTTTTAAAGCTGAATAAATTAAATCTATTAAAAACTTTTCCAACAAATAAATATACAATAATAAAATACTTCACTGGCCTTAAATAATACATAAATAAATAATATCACAAAATCATAATGGCTATACTGTTACATATTTTAAGAACATAATAAACTTTTAGAAAGTCGCTGATTTATTTAATATTAATATGTTATCAAAGATTTTAATTCAAATCACATTTCAGAAATAATTTTAATTGCTGACGGGGTCGTTAAAATATTATGAGTACACTCAAAACAGTATCCTTAGTCCATGTTCACGACATACGACACATTACTCGTCATTTAATAACCGTCATTAATACCAATGAATACTGTTAACGCAACGTACGTAGTTAGATTATGCAAACTTAGAGTAAAATAAGTCAAATATATTTGCCTCTTCTACCTTTCAAACGCTACATACTTAATTACATGTTTTTTTAATACCTGTATATACATATATTTTTTATTATATTATTATTTATTTGTCTTTATTTATCGAAGGAACTTCTTTATAACTGCGTTTCCAGATTAGTATAAAGCTTATAAAATTATGCTATTTTAATATCGTTCGTCTTCAACACAATACCTTCATGAGTCACTGAATACTTACTAATAAATATTACTATTTTTTGTATAGTTTTTTTTATGAATTTTATCATACTTTCTTCAAACGTCAAGCATTTGTACTGTCATGGAGAGCGACTCAAATCTATCTAAATAACATGTGATGCTTATATCAAGAGTGTTGCCACTTTAGTGTATTATAAAAGGTGAAAGCGCTTTTCACTGTCATTATAATAATTTACATTTCAAAACAAAACTCTAAACCTGAACATATTAGCGAAATCTACATAAATTGACAGTGAGAAAGTTGCAAACACAAAATAATAGTGAGTGTCTATGTATGTGTGAGTGTTAAGCGAATATCTTTTTTAAGTATCATATGACCTCCCACTCGCTGTCCAAGTTTTCGTCGGGTGACTGTATGTTTGTTTGTTCTTTGGTTCCGTTCTTTACGTCCAGCTGTAGCTCTATATTTTCCAGGTTCCAGGTGTTCGGTAGCTTCACGACCCTGGGAACCAGCTCCCCGGGGTCCACCTTCTTGGGTGTTGAGTTCTCCTGTTTTGTGATATTCTTCTCGGCCGTGTGTATCTTCATATCGAAGGGTCTCGTATCTTCTATATAGACTGTTCTATTATCATATTTATTTTCTTCCTCCGCGGGTGTAACACTCTTGATACTCAGTGACTCCAGGTTGAGCATCTTAGCGAGGATCTTCTCCTTTTCTTCTATCTGCTGCTCCAGTAGTTCGTCGTTCTGTGTCGACAAGTCTCTGTAAGTAATGTTTATCATTATTTCTGTCTCAACATTGTTACTAACCAGTATGTAAGGTAAACTCACCCGTATAGACTGTCCTCCATGACACACGAGCTAGTAACGAAGTCTGTTCTATCAACGCCGTTGGATTCTTCCTGATGGGTGCAAGTATTCTTCTTCGTCACATCCGGCGCCGCGTCCCTCCTCCTGGTCCTGCGGCTGCTGTATATGAGCGTGTCGTCGTACTTCCGATCCATGATGCTGTTGTATATCTTCAGTTTCCTCTGCAGATCCTCGGTCCTGGCGCGTCTGATCTGTTCCGCCTCGCTGGACACGTCCCTGAACTCGTTGATGATGGATTCTAACACGTTGTTCGATATGTCGTCGGGCAGATGTTTGATGGGTGGTAGTTCTAGACACTCCTCGGCGTCCGCTACTTGTGTGACGGTCTCGTTCCTCGTGAACATGGCTATCGGTTGTTCGAGGACGCTCATGGTCGCCAGCTCCTTCACCGTGCTCACGGCCTGCTGGAGGGACGACGACAACGACTTGGACATCACACTCGCAACCTCCTCTGTTGACAACATATACATATATAACATATACAACTTATACAACGTTTAAATATACTACCGATTGATTTGGGTATTGGGTATCTAATAATATTATTTTATAATAAAATGGGATCTAAGATTTTCGCGAGTTTTATTCATTTAAATGAAACTTATATTTTTCGGATTATACTACGCGACTTTATATTTGTAAAAACATACTTACTCGCGACGTTTTGGCTATTTTACAGCAACCGTGATCACAGGCAGAAGAAATGAGAGATTTTTAACAAAAATAAAGTCGCGTAGTATAATCAGAAAAATATAAGTTTAATTTAAAAGAAATCTGTTATAATCTATTTATTGTGCTTTCATTTTAAAAAGTTTTCCGGTTAGATGTAAGTTGATATATAGTATACAATCATAACATATAGATGGCGCTATTCTGTCAGTAAAAAAATCTATTTGGCTCTAAAGGTAATGGTAAAGGAAATTTTAATCATTGCATGTGTAATTATTATTTAACATTAATTGAAACGATATCCTCAGAGCCATCAGTTTAGATTAAAAAGAAAAAATAAATACAATTTATAAACAATTAACAGGTGATGGATGAAAAAATAAAAAACTCAAAATAATAAAAATACATGTATATATTAAAAAAATAATACAATGGCCATGATGACATCGGTTCAAAATATAAATTCATGTAAATTAAGGAAATGATAAACAAAATACAATAAAGGCGTCAAAGTTAATATTTATATACACAATATTATTTGAGTCCTGATGCCATCAATACATTTCTAATGTCAATAGACTAGAACTATTTAATTCATGATAATTGACTCCTTCATATAAAATCATTAAAAATATCTTCTTAATTTTCAAATGGAATGTGTCTTAGTCTTCAATGTAAGTGTAAAATTTTAACTACAACAATATAATGGAATATTTGATTAAACTAAAAGTTTAATTGCATTTAATTATTAATACTTGATTTTTTCATATCTCAAATGAATATTTTTCACCTGCATATTTAATTTTCCTATTAATAAAGATTCATCAATGAAAAAAATTAAATTGTATCAAATCTTAATATCACTAAATTCATCTATTTAAGTAGAACAATTAATATGTGAATTTAAATAGAATGTTCAATAAAGATTGTTAGTAAAACATAATGTATACATTTTGACAATTTCAAGAAGCTATGTAACAAAATGTATGTAACAGTAAATACTTTGTATTGCTATGCTATGTATGCTGCAGTATAATACTTTGTTAACACAACCTCACATCTTAATGTAAAAGACTTATAATTGTTAAAGTAATTTTTTGTGTTAATTTTCACCAACAAAATAATTCTATTGTTTTGTTGTATGTTCAGATATAATTTATATATACATATATAAATAATAATCTTTATATATATTACATATATATGTAGTTGTCAAGCCAAATGGATTTTTTTCAGATATTGTTGTAACAGTTACATCTATATAGCACCAACTTCGGATGGTCTCGGTAACAACACATATTTGGCATAGTTTAATAGTAACAGTAGTTAGTATTTAATATAACTTTATAATTCAATAAGTACATAATATATAAGTACTGCCCTGTATACCCTATACATAGTCGCCTATTGCTTATTTCAAGCATAATGTGTTTCTTACAGTGAATCAATATAAAGATTTTAAATATCAAAATATTAAGTACATTGCCTAAGTACTTCTAATAGTAAATTGGTTATTTTTAAGTATTTTGTATGTCAATGAAATATTGAAATAAATCACGTCATTCTTAGTATGTTTGTTGGTTTATGTGTGTGTGGTCATGTGTGATTTTTTGAAGTTTTCATTCCTATTTGTGCTGTGTGTGTTACTTTTACAAATGTGAATTTTTGTTTGGGGGGAGGGCGAGTTTGTAGCAGAATGTCTATGTGAATGTGTGTATGTGTGAATGTCTATATGGATATGTGTGTGTGTGTGTGTGTGTGTGTGTGTGTGTGTGTGTGTGTGTGTGTGTGTGTGTTGGTTTATGTGTGTGTATATGTGTGTGGGTGTGGTTGTGTGTGACTATTTCTCTTTGTATACTATGTTACTCTTATAAATGTGAGTTTTTGTTTAGAGGGGTGAGTCTGTAGGGGTATGTCTATGTGTGTGTGTGTGTGCGTGTGTGTGTGTGCGTATCATTCCCTGTTGGTGAACGGACCGTGTGCGTATCTGTCCGGAGCGTGCGCGAGGCGGACCAGCGAGCGTGGACCCTCCAACACGAACACCTCCTCACGACTCACAGACACCGACAGGATCCTGGAAGGTACCAGTATACACAGTCTTTAGATGGGAGATATATAATATTAATTTTATATAGCAATGAACAGTCAAAGATATAAAAAAAATAAAACCAATGTGCTTTAGACAATACCATTGAACTAAAACTTCTTTGGCTCCATTTGTAGGTATGTAATACTAGCTTTCCGCCCGCAGCTTCGGCCGCGTGGATATCGGTTATATCGTGTTTCCAAGAGAACCTTTCAAAAATCTGGGATAAAAATTATCCTATGGTCTTTCTCAAGGTCAACTCTATATCTGAACCAAATTTCATTAAAATCAGTTCAGTGGTTTAGGCGTGAAAGCGTAACAGACAGACAGACAGAGTTACTTTCGCATTTATAATATTAGTAGGGATGTATGTTTACATACACTTTCGCTCGCCTCGCCCGGTCACACTATTCGTCACGCATTCGCCAGCTTTTTCCCAAGTCAAGCGTGGATAAAAAAGTTTTACTCCAATAAAACACACAATACATAGAATCTGACCTTCTCAAGTCGTCAACAACAGCGACGGCGGTCAATGACCTCGGGTCCAGGATATACAGGATGTGTTCGTTGTGAGACACCAAGAAGTGTTCTCTAAACACGAACAGGGGACCGAAGTTATATTCCCGTTCAGCGTGAGAGTGCTTCTTCTGAGACGGATTGAGAAGCTCCGCTACCGTCAATGGATTGGATATGGCTTCCTGGAAGACAGTTAGATAGAGTTTAATAAACAAGAGGATTTAAAAAATCTCGTTATTTGTTTGAACATTTCAGTATGATCAGAAGTGACTTACAATGCGTAGTTGTTAATTTAAAAGTAAGCTTAGGTATTACAATAAAAATATTATACACGGAGAATGTCCATATATGATACATTAAAATGTTTTTGAGCCAGATATACCTAAGTGGTGCCTAATCAAAGTCATTACATGACCAAGTGTTATAAGTTACAGAGACTGACTACTTACTTACTATTACTATACTACTATTATTTGGTATGTATGTATATAACCTTGAACAGTAGTGTCTGTTGTACAGTTCCGTCCCTGTCAGCCCTCCACACGCGGAGCCCCCGGCGGGCACAATAGGCCGCCGCCCCACCGCCGCGGGCGTACGAGTGTTGCCACACCGCGCCTACACCGCACAGACTATACAACATAGAACAGCATTAACAGATATAGTATATTAAAAGTATATTTTTTTATATTAAAATTGTGTATACTCATTTTTACGTAATTGTATAAATTTCTATCAAGAAGACTTATCTTTTAAATAGATTAAATAATACTGAAAAAAAAACAATTCTCAATTTATATCACAAGAATAAAATACCTACATATAATAACTATAATATTATGTTACGCTATAAATAAAACAAGATTATATTTCAAAGTTAGACAATAAATACAAAATGCCTCAATAGTACCAACATTGCCATACAAAAGTTTAGTATTAAATTTTGTTTCATGCCAACTCATTTTTAGCACAAATTCTTAATCAACATCTATATAGCTAGTTCTCGCTAGTCACATCTTAGTTATAATACATACGTTTTCCGTTCCTTCTTCCCGAGCTGTGTAACACTCCACTTAGCATCCTGTCTCTCACAAACAATGCTTCTATACAAGCTCGACACCAACAGAGCATTCTGGTAGTAACTCATTTGTACTATCTCATGCTCCTCATTTACTATTTCCATTGACTTGCACAGATGCTGGAACGAAAAGGGATTACACAACTCATATATATTTTATATAGATATAGAATTATTTGTTAGCATGTTCATTAGTTAAAATCATTTGTATATTGTCAGCCAATTAAAGACTTGTTCTTAATTATCATTGACACAAACATATGGCAGACAAAGAAAAATATATTGTCAAATGATATAGTTGCTTACATCAAGACCACATCAGAAAATCCTTATTCTTTATATATTTTAACTTGACAAATAAACCATAATGAGTTACATTATATATTAATATACAAACATACCATGTAGAAGTCAATTTCAGTCATTATAATAACACCATTCTTATCTCCCGAGAACAACCTCATCCCATTCTTTGACCATTCAATTGCCGTTATCTTACTCTTATGTAGATCCCCTATTGTGTACCTAAAATACATACACATATATTATATTATAAATTCTTACTCCAACAATTTACACATGTAAGTTATTAGTTACTTAATACAGTGTATCCTTTACTTAAATAAAATTGTGAGCTTAAATACATATTATATTTTGCTTGTTGTTAAGTAATTGAACTGAGTTACATAACAGTAATGTTAAACCATTTTTCCTGTTGTTTTTACAATCAAATATGTATGTAGGTATGTAATATGGACATTACAAAATATAAAAAAGAAATACATCTGTCTTTTAAAATTTTCTATATAAATATTTGAAGTAAATATTGAGTATACAATATGTATTAAGATCCAATTTATACTGTAACTTATACATTTACACCCTCAAGAGAGTATATTAGAGTTCTACAGAGACAATATTGACTGTGTGTATATACCTATATACATATATGTTATGTACACTATCACTCACCTCTCCACTTTAGGTTCGACCTTTGGCTTGAAGTTATCCGGCAGGTTCTCAGGATGTTCCTTAGGGATCTGGAACACAGTGACTTGCCCCGCGGCGTTGCCTGCCCCCACCATGTAATCCACTGTACTCACTATCTTGACATAAGTAATCGGAGTTGTTGACGCCTGTTGAAGATTTAACATATTAATCACCATTATAATTATTCTTTTAAATAATTTCATAAATATGCAGAAAAATAGGACTTAACTCATAAATATAATTGAACAAAGATTTAATAAGAGATATCGGTGAATATAAATTTTCTTTTAGTATTATTTTTCAATACTTCTAGCATTTGTTTCATAGACCATGTAGATATTTTTAATCAATACTTTACATATTAATATGTTTATTATTCTGTTATGTGACCTTTACATTTTACACTTGGTTCAATGCTCCATTAATGTTATCAAATAGATATTAAATTGATAACATTTATAAGCTCTTTGTGCCATTTATAAACAGTCTCCAACAACAAGGAATGTTTCAATAGAAAGTATAAATAAGGAATTTCAAATACATATAGCTAATGGAACAGTAGTCAGCGACTATTATCAAACTGAATCTTTAAGTTTATAAATAATTCTATTGTAACAAGCTTATTTAGAGCAAAGTGTAATAAAATTTGGGAATAAGATAGAAGAAATATTTAATTATTAGTCCAATAACATAAGAATGATTTTAAAGGGGCTCTAAGACAAGGATAATCATCAAATTCTTATAAAATTATTTTCTTATGGAGATGGTTATTTCTTGCATTGGTAATTATTTTTATAATCTAAGGAAACTTGCCATCTGAACTAAATATATTTAGATCATTCTATATATGAACTTGTATGAATTTGCTTCACATATAAATTACTTCACAATTTTTTTTATTACCTTATAAAACATATAATTTATATATGTTTAGATTCCAAATAATAAAATTAATGAAAACACTTTATAATATACGTAATTCTCTAAAAGTATATCATGTACAAGGCTATAGATTTCTACCATATGTATAATTTACCTCGCATCTTAGTCGCTGTATATTTCCCTTTTTTCTGTCGTACCAGTAAACCAGTCCAACGTTAGTGCCGAGCGCGATGTATTCACTCACGGCATCCACACAAGTCAAGCAGAGCTCATTAGAAAACAATCCGTTTTGTATCCGTGCAGGAATCAAGTTCAAGATATGTGAACAAGGGGTCCATTCTCTCACAAAACCCTCTTCAGCGCCACTTGTAACTTCCATATCGTCTATTCGTTACTTCTTATTGCGAAAGTGTTATAAGAATTTGTCAAACACAAAATCATGACTTAATATTTTATTTTTTAAATTTTGGTCCACCGTACGTTTTACAACAAAATTTCTATTACTGTACAGTGGTGGGGTGGTATTAGTGTAACAGAACTATAGCTCTATAAGTATTAAGTAGGTAGGTAGGTAGGTAGGAACCTACACAATCGACAATATATACATTACTTTAAGAATAACTACGCTAACTTGAATTTTTTAGATTGTTCAGTTTGACATTTTTATCATACTAACACTTCATATCCAGATGATTAGTCTCTCTGTAATAAATTTTTAAAAATCTTAATTTGAGAAAATATTTCTATAGTCTAAATTAATTTAAATATTATTATTTTTATTAAAATTAATCAATGTTAATATATTGTACAATATATTCTAGAATGTTATACCATTTAAAACACTCTAGTGAATTATTGCAAAATGTGAATACAATATTAATTTTATATTTTTTTTAATAAAAAAAAATTATCATTCATATTAGTTTTAAAAAATGTAAGTTTTGTTTTACATAATATATGGCATAAGTATATAACTTTATTTTTTTTGTCTATGAGTTGGTGCCAACATACAGAAACAAGTAACAACTGTACACTTGTCATTTTCTTGTCAAATCCAAAAGCGTAGTCGTCGGGAAAGACCATCAAAGTTTTGCATAATAAATTTGTATAATAAACTGTGAAGATGGCAGAATCCGTAACAGAACTTCCTATAAACATAGAAGAAAGTGTCAGGGAAGCAGTACAAAATGTTACCGAAAAGCCTCCATCAAGTATTGAAGGAGTTGCTATTGCCTACTTAAGTCTAGTTATAATGGCTATATTGCCAATATTTTTTGGATCTTTTCGGTCTGTGAAATATTTAACTGATAAAAAGGTTCGTATTTGAAATATTTTTATGTTATAATGATGTATTCTTTAATTGATTGAGGAAAATGAGCATCCAATCGGAAAGGTGCACGTAATGTCATCGTGGCATGTTTTGCCTCTTACTTCTGTCTCGGTTTCAGAAAATATTAAATATTATTTGTGGATGTTACCTCTCAATAACTCGTATTATTCTATAATAACTCATTTCATAATTAATTTTAAATATTTTATTATAATGGAACACCAAATCTCTTCAGAACCCTCCATGAGATATTCTGTAAAATATGTTTGTTACAGAATTCAGGCGAGAAGGCTGAGACTATGTCAAAAAAGGATGCATTAATCTTCCCATTGATAGCATCATGTGCTCTGTTTGCTCTGTATATATTCTTCCAGTTTTTCTCAAAGGAATATATTAATCTACTCCTCACTGGGTATTTCTTCTTCCTGGGTGTTCTTGCACTGAGCCATTTATTGAGGTAATTAAGAAACACAACATAAATAACTATATAAGTATGTTACTAACTACAACCAAATCATAATTTGTTATTAGAATTCATATGTATAACCAATCAGTATTTATTTTCCAGCCCTATTATATCACTTATTGTCCCAGCATCGGTCCCCAACACACCATACCACATTCTCTTCACCCGCGGTGAACAGGAGGGACACTCGGACATTGTGAACTACAAATTCACTTCATACGATGTGATCTGTCTTGTTATTTCTTTGATTCTTGGAGCCTGGTATCTGCTTAAGAAGGTAAATAATATTTAATATTTAACATTACATATTTGTAATTAAAACACCAATAAACTGAATTGATATAATAAAACTTATATTTCTCGGATTATACTATGCGACTTTATTTTTGTCAAAAAAGTACTATTAAATAAATCACAGGTAGACGTGCTGTGACAATGTGATCATTTCTGAAAAGTAGTCGAAACATCGGGAGCATGTAGTTTTTTACAAAAATAAAGTTGCATTGTATAAACTGAAAAATATTAGTTTCATTAAAATGAATAAAAGTAGTGAAAATCTTAGATCTCTTAAACTGAACTGATATTTATATAGTGTCTATTTACAATATGTGTTTACACATTTTGTATAAAATATGATTTTGTTGGCTATATAATTTCAGCACTGGATCGCCAACAACTTATTTGGCATAGCATTTGCCGTGAATGCCGTGGAAATGTTGCATCTGAACAATGTAGTGACGGGGTGCATCTTACTGTGCGGACTCTTCCTTTATGATATCTTCTGGGTGTTTGGCACCAATGTCATGGTGACTGTTGCTAAGTCATTTGAGTCTCCTATCAAATGTAAGCTTTACATCTAATATACAATATATATTACTTGTTTAGTCACAGATTATGTATTATCTTATCTACAGATTTTTATATATTTATTTTTTTGCAGTGGTATTCCCCCAAGATTTATTGGTCAATGGATTTAATGCTAGCAACTTTGCTATGTTGGGTCTCGGTGATATTGTAGTTCCCGGCATCTTCATAGCTCTGCTGCTGAGATTCGACAAAAGTTTGAAGCGTGGTTCGGAGTTATACTTCAGAGCTACCTTCTCCGCCTACATAGTGGGATTATTGGCGACCATATTGGTGATGCATGTGTTCAAGCACGCTCAGCCTGCCTTATTGTATTTAGTACCCGCCTGTCTCGGCACACCATTGACTGTTGCCTTATTGAGAGGAGATATCAACGCCTTATTCAAGTAAGTTAATATTTATTCATACCATTACCATATTTACATGTAATAAATTTGATATAAAACTATTAATAAATGATATTTTTCAGTTATGAAGATCAACCAGCGGTAGTGGAGGCTCCAAGCGACAGTAAAGCGAAGAAATCAGAATAAACGTCAAGAAAACAAACAACGCACAAATTCATAGGACTAGGTACATTAATGTAGTGTAATATTTTGTACATTTACATTTGAGACCATCGCTAGTTAGATTTTCCAGAGCTGGTTCAATATGAACTGTTATGTAGTAGTTTTTTTGTATACATTATTGGTATTTATTAACGTTGAAGATTCAACATAGCAGACTTCCATTATCTTCCAAACAAAATTTATTATTCGGTAGTCAGGAATACAAAGACGTGTGCTGTAAATCATTATGTTTTGGCTATAAAGACATTCCACATAATGCATAAAGTTTGTTATTTGCTAAAGGTTTAGTTTCGAGTTATCATTTAAGTCTATACAAAATGACGTCACGTGAAAGAATGTAAGCCTATTCAAACATTGTTATTTAATGCTTTCTTGTCACCATGAAGCGCAGATCTATAAATACAAAACGCAGAACTATATTTGTATCCACAATAATTATTCCTGTTACAAATATTTTTGTATTCTGAAATGTCATTAATATTTTTCTAAACAATACAGATGTTCTATACTATGAATTATAATAAAAATGTAGATTTTTGTGATGTGGTATAATCACTTGGAAATCGATATTTCATTTGATAGTAACACCTTTAGTTTCTTTTCTGTATTTTATTAAAACAAATCCCTACGTTTTTTTTGGGTGTTGGTTGCAAAGGCATTTATTTCTGCACTGGGAAAACGGAGTTGTTAAAATAATTTGTATGGAAAAGTCTGTCATGTTAGCTATCAAACTTTTGTTCATAAAAAATTCTAATTGTCTCATTGTTTGTGTATATTTAATTTTCTTCCGCAGTACAATTTTGTATATTTTGTTATGTGTTAAATAAAATCGATGTAAATAACATTTTGTTTTTGAGGGATTGTGTGAGGATTAGGTAAGATTATTTTTTTGTTGAAAATAATTATATATATATTTTTTTATTTTATATTCTTTTCGTTACATTACACTTGTTGGTATCGTAGTTTTTTTTATAATTCTTAGAGCCCTTTCCATTGGTTGTCATCCCATAGTATTCGCTAGCGGACCGATGTCACTATTGAGGCTTCACAAATAAAAGTTATTTAAAATACAATAATATGTGGAATATTTCTTTGAATGTATAGATTTTAGTTTCAATTCAATTATACATTGATAGGAAATTATGTATGTCATTAAGTAACCGAATTTATATTTCACTGAGGACGCTGACGTTTAGTCGGATCAAATAAATTAATTTAAATAAATGTGTTTATTATTTACTTTATAAAAGTTTATTAACCATTTATATTACATAATAATATTGTTATAACATGTGATATTTAATAGCTGTTGTTTATAGAAGTCACCCTTAAATATACATATATTTAGTGACTAGCACTTTCCTTGAGTACAAACATTTGTTTGTTATTCATCAGGAATGGATTTATTAATAAGACCAATTCCAGTACATTTTATAACATCCTGCTCACCATCCGATTTTATCTCGAATTTAACCTAAAACAGAAGATTTAATAAGTTAATAAAAAACATACAACATAATGAAATGCTTGTTTACAACTCACCGATATATAACATTACATGAATTACAATCAATCCCTACTAATATTATAAATGCGAAAGTAACTCTATCTGTCTGTCTGTTACGCTTTCACGCCTAAACCACTGAACTGATTTTAATGAAATTTGGTACAGAGATGGAGTTGACCTTGAGAAAGAACATAGGATAGTTTTTATCTCGGAAAGCTAGTATGTAATATAATACATATATATATTACTTATTATATCAGTAAATATCTACATTTAAATGTATATGTGTAACCTTAGCAAGTGTCTCCGCTATATGTATGGCCGTCTGAGTGTGTAGAGTGGGGGAACCGGAGCGGACCGAAGACAGGCCGGACGCTAGACACATGTACAGTATCACCTGATCCTGAAAAAAAATATTATCTATTAAATACAAGTTTATCTTATTATTAAGAACTCATTACAATATGTATTTTAATTAACATACAGTATAAATTATAATGTGCATTTATATATACTATGCTTAAATGAGATAATTCAGAACTGGGTTACATCCGATTGGAAATACTATTCAATAGAAAAAAATTTGTAATATTGAATAAGAAAGAGTAATTTATATAAATCAAGATTGTGAATACATACAGTGTTTGTATCCCTATGTACCAATTTTCCTTATATACTTGAAAGTAGTAAATTATCAATTTTTATTACACGGAGACAACAAAATAGTTATTACCTATCCCTCTCGTACCTATTTATATTTCAAGATATCCCGCTCGAACCCATTGCAGGACATTAGGCGCTGCGAGCGGCTTAACGTTTGTTACTCGGGCTTTGTTTAAAGTGTTTTTTCGATAAGTCTAATAATACCCTATTTATATATATCTACCTTATCGGAAAGCTTAAGAGCAATAGATATTTTTTAGCACATCTGCAATACATCTGTCATAGACTCTTTTTAAGATATCTTACAAAGAAAAAATATTTTTCTCAAATTTATTTATTTTTTTAACAATTGAATATTTGCTACGACTCATTTGTTATAGTTACTGGCAGTTTTGTAGCTTAAAATAATAAAGCAATTAATCTTCTACACCAAAATTATAAAAATGATCCAAAATTGGGACACAAAACAAAAATAAAGGGGCAATCGACAAAAAATCTGTAATTTTTGTAAAATAAATACAATAACTTGAGAAGGGTTAGGTTTAGTATATGGGCTTCCATAGTCAAATCAGTTAGGAATGATGGAACCTATCCTCTCTTAAAGGATATCGGTCGACTTAACTTGTAACCCTGTATACATATATTATGGGATGAATGTTATAAATATTATATTCATCAAACATTTCTAAGCCGTTCAAGTTGTCTAAATAAAAAAAAATCGTATATTAAATACAAAATAAAAACGTTCTCTGTCGTATAATCGAAATCACGTCATTAAGCATAAGTTTATGGCCTACATCTTCTGCTTTATAACGTCACAGAATTAATTATATATTAATTTTAATTCAATAAATGTATTAAACCAAACAATATTATTATTATTCAGTACTAGCTTTCCGCCCTCAGCTTCGCCCGCGTGGCTTTCGGTTATATCGCGTTTCCAAAAGAACCTTTCAAAAGTCTGAGATAAAAACTATCCTTTTCTTTCTCAAGGTCAACTCTGTGTCTGTACCAAATTTCAGTAAAATCAGTTCAGTGGGTTAGGCGTGAAAGCGTAACAGCCAGACAGAGTTACTGTCGCATTTATAATATTAGTAGGGATTTATGTACATACCTGTGCATGTGTGTCCACACAGGCCCCGGTGTCAATGACCTCTCTCAGCATTTTGCCAGCGGAGCCCCCGACCTCACCGGGGCTCACCCCGCGACTCCCGAGCCCACACGCACCCAACACACACGACGACGTCGAACATGACAGACTGAAAGAATTATAATGAGAACAAATAACAATAAACTGTATAGGACATACAGCCTATCAGAGCCCACTGCTGAGCCTGCCTCTCACAAGGAGAAGGTTTGAGCAATAATTACCACGCTTGCTCAAGACGGGTTGGTGATTTCAAACTTATAATTGAAAAAACTATAAGTCTAGATGTTTTCCTTCATCACTCAGTGGTGTCTAAATACTCTTAGAAAGTACACATGACTCGGAAAAATCATATTGGTACTTGCCAAGATCGAACCCGCGCTCTCGTACATGATAGGCACAGGCCTTTTAACCACTAGGCCACTACTGACTGTATCATGAAAAAAACACTACCTCACTAAGTATTCTAGAATGTTCATTCTAAATTTAAAAATCTTTTGTGAGTGAATCAATTGTTATGAAGGATGAAGTTAGGTCTACGAAACATTTACAACTAGCTCTTGAATACGGCTTCTTTTAACTGACTTATTATATTTATTTACACATTTTTTTATTTTAATAATAATCTACAGGTTGAATAATACCCGACATTAACTTCAATAAATGAAAAATAATCTAGCATTGTTACTGGTTGGTTGGGTGTCGAATTGTCTAATAAAAAAAATAATTAAAAGCAGTTAATGTAATTATTTTGTCACTACACATTATTTATGAGCTATTTATTCCGATACACATAAAATATATAGTGATTAAATAAAAATGTAAAACTTCACATAATAATTATAATATATATTTAATCTGTATTTTAAAAAAACATTGCATCATCCGTTAGGATATTCCTTTTAATATTTATACTAAAATTTAAGATCTCATTTTGTTCTTGGAAGTTCTGACTATGCCTTCGCCTTTTCAGATACCGTGTATACAATACTTTGAATGAATTAATATTGAGTGATAAATGTTTTAAATATATTAAATATAAAACTTTAAATCCTTACACAATTCCATTACAGTTGTCTGGTGCCATCGATCCGTCTTCTTTGTAACTTTTGATGTTTATTCTTTGATTTAATCCTATTTCATGTTTAGCGCCATCTGCCATCTGGTAGGCGAACTAAAACGAATACATTTTCATTATAGTAGAAATATTTTCTTATCCATTATTTTCTATTACATTCATATATACAGGGTGACTGGTGAATTACTATCAATATTTAAGGAGAATATGTACTCGGTACATGATTCTCATTCGAATTATGTAAAAAAATAGGTACTTAATTTTTGACCAAATTTCCGTATAAATAAATAAAGTGTGGACACGTTCCAAGTGTTCCAAGTGTGGACGCGTGCTGATACAACACCACGCCGCCTCACGCGTGCTTGTGTGTGTGTGTGTATACCTAATCTGTAGGGTGTTCACACGATGCGTAATTAATTACATAACTTTTGGTTAACTTTACTTAGAAGTTTATTAATATTTATGTTACATTAATTTTTATTTTGTCATATATGATCGTCAAATATCACGTCCTCAAATATCGATAGTAATTCACCAGTCACCCTGTATACATTATTGTTAACCTATTGGTAAGAAACACTACCATTAAACTTTTATAACTTTTCATTTACATCCATACAATAACACAAGTTATTATATTTTTACTTAATAGTGTGCAATAAAATAATTAAATATATATGTAAATATAAATATAAACACCTTGACTGGTAAGTTTCCCGCTACAAAGCTGATTCCACCGATGTCTTCAATCTCTCCCCTATCCATTAGGTTGATACTTTGCAGCATATTCACAGGACTTACTTCAACCCTTACATGACCTCCACCATGTGGAAAATAACTGAAATATTAAAAATAACCATTAATATGATATGATAATTTATAATAATAGAACATAATTGGATATCAGATTAATATACATATATGTAATATAATAAAATATACTAACAATATATAGCATAGCATATTATTGAAAATCACCCGCGTGTTAGAATCTGCATGCTGAAATCTCCACCAAATTTATTGAGAATCTTCCGGAATACCATATCCATGTAATCGATCTGCGGTGCCATGTCTGCATTGGTGCCGCCCTTCAAGTCCATTGTAGTGGGGCCATCGGCAAATAGAGCAACCGGCAGGGCAACTTGGATAAGCAGACTTATTGAACTGTTGATATTTTTAAACCACATATTAATTATTTATTATTATTATTATGAAGAATTTAATTATTCTGAAATAAATATGAAATGGAAATGTATATGTATTTGGAATTATAATTATACATCATATTTAGTAATTAAATAGAATATTCCTAATGCAGAATCAAATTAATATGTCTGTGTTTTCTTAATATAAATTTAGCTCAAAATATATATTTTTTTGTATAATCTGTTGTACAAAACAATAAGCCACTAGGTTGTCCGATTAATTATTTATCTATTTATGGTTTTTAGCTTTGAGGGACACTGCTCAGTTATGTGTCTTATTCCACCCTGGTAAATTTACTTTGTAGAGTTGGAGATATCTCAAAAATAGATCTATATGTATAATATGATAACATTATGTAACAATATATAATTTATTCTTAGTATGTAAATAACCAAATAATGCTAGTTTTTTGGTTTATATATATAACCTACCCTGCTGTCTGTGTGTCAGCAACATAATGTCCTCCTCTGATTTTGCGGGGAGTGAACTCAATTTTCGTTGACCCAATAAATGCTCCTTTAAGCTCAGCTTGGCACATATTTGCAACTAGCTGAATACCTATTTAAAAAATATATTATATTACAAAATTTTAACAAAATATTAGTTAACTTCAGTTAATACATTAATCCTCAATAAATATAATGTTTTGAGATATGCTAGAAAATTTATGTTAATATTGAATAAATTTAAATTTAAGATAACTTACACTTATATTATTACTTTTATAAATAAAATATATAACTACTATAAATGTATAATACTACTATAATATAAATTAGTAAAACTACAAATACTATAAAAAAAAGTTATACCTTTTAAATGTTGTGCAGCTAAACCTGGTTTCTTGCGTCCAACACGAATATTTGTAACTCGTACAGGAATATTCAGTAGAGCGCTTAGTGATATGGACATTCTAAGAATTTGTCCTCCCTGAAAATCATTTTACATTTTCTTTTATAAAATATATGCTCTAATGGCACTACTTTTTGTTTTCATTAAAATATTTACCCCTTCTAGCACGCTTCCATCTATTTCTTGCATGTGAACCATTTTTATGATTTAAATATGTTTCTAACAAAATTAATTTCGCTATTTCAAACACCCGGTGTAAGGCAATAGTCTTCGTAGTTCGTATTTTGGAACTATTGGAGTTATCAGTGTCAATGTAAAAATATAAATTGAATTGTAACTTGACACATTTATGGCAATATTGTTGTATATTTTATAGGTTTAGATCGTAGATTTAATCTTCATGAAAGACGGAATCGCCTTCAAAAATATCTATATGCACTGAAATACGTAAATATTTTAATGATTTTTGTATGGAGGTTTTACGGACTGGTTACCATCTCCAACACAATATATGTTTGAAAAATTCAACCTTATATTTAAATGATAAAAATACTACATTTATAAAATTAATTTTTGTGTAATATGTTTTATTAATGAAATTCATTGCATTCCTAAACATAGACATTCATCCGTAATGTCAATATGGTGATGACAACTATGCACTAGATTCCAAGAGCAAACATTTCAGGGGTTGACTGCTGTAATCTGTATTTACGATCAACTTCGTTTTTTTAAATGTGTCAACAGTTGATACCTACGTGTTTCTCGCTCAATATCTTCAATCTGCATTCTGCATCTATTAGTCTATGGCGATTGTTTTGTGTACTGTTTTGCGTGTTACGTTTACTGTAAATTAAGGAAAATATTAATGATTTTGAAATAAGTGACGCTATATGTTATATGTACACGACGCTAAAGGATCTCGAATGAATTTAATAACGTTTGGCATCGTAATATTATTCATATAATATCTACAAAGATGCAGAGAAAACCAGGATACCCTGCTATCGCTAATAATATGAAAATGGAGCTGGGCTTGGGAATGGAATACGTTGCGAGAGTACGTGTATACAATATTGTTAAAATACAAACGTATTATAATCTGCTGTTTGCTCTGCTAATTTTACACAAGTATATAAATAAGGGCAAGCGTTATCTATAAATATTTACATGATTATCTCAAACACGTCTCTGTAATAAAATAAAGTTGTTCAGGATTCATTTAAGTTTTACACAAATTTCACACATACATGTGCATTTTTAAGGAAATGTATAGAATATACATATATAAAGATTTACTGATTGAATGTTTTCCGTTTCTAGTGTGATTTTGCATCTGAAAGCCAATGTGATGATGATGAGCCACAACAGCGCCGACAGCAGTTAATAAACTTTGGACACTCTCAGTGGGGGTTCAATAATTGGAGTTGGTCCGTCACTTCACAAGACCTAGGTAAGGAAATTTTTTTATTTTTTTTTATGTGAAAGGTGGCAAACATGCAGATGGCCCACTTGATGGAAGGTGGTTACCATCGCCCATAGACATCCACAACATCTTTGTTATGGTTGTGTTGCCAACCTTGTTTTTTAGGGATAGGGAAGGTTGGGAATAAGGAAATGGTAGGAAAGGGTGGGAATAGGGAAAGGGCAACAGGCTCTCTCACTCATCGGACGAAATGCAGCCATTAAAGGCTACTTCACGCCGATCTTCTATGAGAGGGTGGTACTTCCCCGGTCGAGCCAGACCATGTTTGAGCTGTAGTAACTTGACTACAGCTAGGCTCTACCACCTAAAATGGTCTTAGTTATATGAAGTGCCAATAGATATTATTGTGTAATTACTTACATGCTGTATATTATAGAACAAATAATTTCTTGACAACAAGGAAATAAAAAAAAATTGGTTAATTAACATACATCATAAATTAATGATCTAAAGTATGTCTTAATTATATTCTTTTACAGATTTTGCAGAACCTCAAAATGGCAAATACACAGCTGGTGTTGCATGTTTTGTGTCCGTTAAAGTAAAAAGTCTGGACATACAACGAGATAATGTGGGGTACGCAACATCGGTAGCAAACAACAAAGGGCTGGCAATACATAGAGCAAGGAAGGTATGTATTACATGTATATTAATTAACACATGGCTAGCATTTGTATGGAAGTTAATTTATGTGTATAAAATTTGGGAAAATCTTACTTGTAATCTATTCCGACTCTATGGAGTCATAGTTTTTTTTTATTTGTAATTTCAGATACATACTTAAATTACTTGCCTTATTATAAGATTGTTCCTTTTTTTGAAATTATTCTGAAATATTTTATTACTTTATCCATTGTATGTGTTTTCAGAGCTCTGTTACAAATGCTCTTCGTGAAACTCTTTTGAGCTTCGGTGGAAATCTTGCTTCAGAGCTGTTAGAACTCCTTGAAAGCAACAAAAGTGAGGCAGCAAACCAGATCATAGTGCCTGAGGCTGTTCAAGAGAGCAGCAGCAATCCACTCATTAAAACAGAACCAAAGAACCTCTCAAAGCCAATTAATAGAAAAGATACCGAAGCAAATGTAAACATACCTCAGGTTTTTCCGCAAAAGGGGCCTAAGAATACACTAAACCCCCCCGTGGCTAAGGCCCACCCGATGCCCGCCAACCTGGCCATCAACATGTCAACGAATCTCCCCAATCCTCCGGCGACCCCAGCCGCTAACTTGCCGCCCGCAGCCAACGCTCCCCGCCCGCCCTACGCCGCGCCGCCCGCCCCCGCTCACGTCCGTCCCAACTCCAACGTAAGTTTCGTGATGATGCCGCCGCTGTACGCCCCCCCGCGCCTGCCTCCGCCGCACGCCTTCCCCAACTACTACGAGCTGAGTCCGTGGCACTTCTCCTACGAGCCCCACAACCTCAACTTGAACCTCAACATGCCGTCACGGAACCTGCTCGTGGGTCGTGACTGTAAGCGCGAGGACTTCCAGCCACAACAAGGCTGTTGGATCAAACCGACCATATTCTATGACGGGTTCTGGACTGAGCAGAAGGTCAGGAAGTGGGTCGCGGAACAAGTCGAGAAACAGTTCCCAGAAGATAAAACAACCTCGCCCGCCGACTCCACAACTAAATAAAGGAATCCAATCCGGTCTCAATGTATTTGATGTTTTATGACTGTCTTTTCGTCGGCTTTACTGCAAACGTGCGTAAGAGCAATTTGCAATACCGCGTATTACTATTTTATAAATTTTACAGGAAGAAGAAATAATTGATTAACTTGTTCAACAGAATAGATCTTTTTCATTAAAATTTTTCGTGGTTTCTTTGCATGATATTGCATAGGCATGTCATCAGATTTTACAAATATATTATATTGAGATACTCAGAAGTCAATGGCGTAATAACGAATTTTTGAGACTTTTGTAAATACGCTTTATTGCAAGTTGTTCCTGCGCGCTATTGCAGTTGCGTCGACGTTTTCACTTTTGGTATTACACCATTGTAATATTCGCGTTTTTGTGATGTTTTAAGGTATTTTATAAGTAGTTAAACGGACGTATGATATAATACGCGAACCTCTTGTTTTTTTGTGAAGAGGTTCAAATTTTGGTCATTACAGGTAGTCTAGAATGTTAAGGATTGTAGTAGTATTTGAGATTGAAAGTGTGGTATTTGTTTTATAAATCATAATGTTAGAATTATACGAATTGTACGGCCACGATGATTTGTCGACTTGCTCAGTCCTAGACTATAGTTATTCTTAGAACATAGGATATTAGTGACGTGAAAGCAATCTATATAATCAATTTGAACACGAATATTTCCATTGATTTTAATTAATATACATAATAGATGTTGCCAGTTAATAAGTGATGCGTGTGATGTTTTTTGTCACGTTTAATGGAATTTAGCATGTAAAGAGTACGGCTGATCAGTATGTTTTTATTGAAATAAAAAAAAAATGATTAAACTGAATTTTAATTATATTTGTTCTTTTACCACCATTTTGTTTCGTTTATTATATATTTGATGCAATTTATTCTTATATTTAAGTTCGACCCCATATATAATTTCTATTAACATTTTAAGAACTATTCATCTTTCGAGTTATGAATTTAATAGACGAATTAAATATCTATTATTATATATTACAAGTAATAAAACATCAACAGGATGATTCAGCTGAGGCGGCGAGAATCGAAAGGAAGAGACGACAGCGACTGGCCAAAGAAGAATTCCTCAAGAAACAAATGGAACAAGGTACCACTTGAACTAGCATTGGAATTAACTTACTATAGTGCCGCGTGTGTTAAGTTATGAAGTTTGTAATACATAAATAATCAATATACATTGTCGTCTTATTTTTAATTATAATCTTTTCTTCTTCAGATGAAGAAGATGTATGTGATGTGAGTCCTGGCGATCTGATAGTGGCTGAATTAGTGCATGAAACGGAGAAGTCAGGGTTGATAGTTAAAAGAAAGTCCCCGGATCCAAGGGGAGATGAGAAACGTTCTAAACAAATATAATGTATAGCAACACATTTACTCAAGTAGAGCATATTTATCACATTTATTAATGCTACCATCAAGCTTAAGCTAAATTTATATTTAAATTAAGTTATAATTAATAGATTGAAACCAAAGTACAAAATAAAACATCATTTCCGAAATCATATTTATTTAAAATCACTAACAAGTTACGAACTTACACATTATATACAGTACTAAGAACTAAAGTCAGGTTATTGTACTCAGAATGAAACGAATCCTCCACAAGGACAACTAAGTCACCATAAAAACTTAAAAACTAGGATTACCCAAGAAATACTTATATCAGCTCGACGAGAACCAAATAAAACTAACCTTTATATTACACCGCTAGAGGTCGCTGGCCCGTGACGAACCAGTACAAGATATGAAAGAACACAAGTATAATTCGCATCAAACTAAACATTTTCGGTTTTTCATTCATAAATCTTAGCGACATAAACGTAGATCTTAGAATGGAAAACGGGAAACTTTCAGTATGTGCGAGCAACACTTGTGGTAATAGAACACGCCGCTCCATAACTCCAGGAACATACTTGACTTATTCTTTATCAGGACTACGAGTATATTTCTAAAAATGTATATGATTACAAATTTATCATTTACGATTAATATTTACTTACATTTTCTTAACTCTCACTTGATGTTAAAGTTATTTTTCATTAAGCATCCAGTATTGTAGACATTAATACATTTTATATTCAAATATCGTCAGGGTTGGAGCAAATCCGCGTAACTACCACGGGATAATTTCGCGTACCTACATTGAAAGCAGATTATCAGAAGAAAACTAGCTTTCCACCCGCAGCTTCGCTCGCGCGGAGTTCGGTTATATCGCGTTTCCAAGAGAACCTTTCTCAAGGTCGACTCTATCTCTGTACCAAATTTCATTAAAATCAGTTCAGTGGTTTAGGCTTGAAAGCGCAACAGAGTTCCTTTCGCATTTATAATATTAGTAGGGATTTCAGCTCAAACTTTCGTCCGATAATCTGTTTCCATGGCAGTTACGCGGATTTGCACTATCCCCGACGATATGTAATATTACGACAGAAGGATCGTTATCGTCTTAGTAATATACAAGACCACGAAGAAAATAAAATATTCATATTAAGTAAATAATGTTTTGTTTATATATTACTAGTGCAATATGTTTCTGTCGCAACTCACAAGTTCGTCACATATTTTATTATTGCGTTATATTAAAGCTTTTTGTTTATAACATTTATTTATACATGGGTATAAAATGTTTCAACTTAAATGATGATGTGAATATATAATATGTATAGTAATACAAAATCAAAAATATAAATAGGATTTCAATTATGTTATAGACAATATATAGAATATATATTTTTTCAATACTTGTGTAGGGATGTTAATAATAAAATTTATTATTGCTTTTTTTATATATTAAGCACATACTTTTTCTGTGTTTTGTGTTTTACCTGACATTTCATTTTACAATTTGGTTTTTTATATTAAGAATATTTTATGAGACAGGAAACAATAGAATGAGATATAAGTTATATAGAATATATTTATAAGTAATTATGTGTTTAATAAAATATTAATTAATGTATACTTTTGAAATGAAGTCAAATTCTCTGGCCATGTGTTTCATGTTCCACTCTTTACTTATACATTCAAGGCATTTGTATTTCATTACAAATCCACGTTATATGAAGGTTCTAATGTTATATAGATATAGACTCTATTATATTAACACAATAGTCTACATTGGCATGGCATGTGATTACACAAACTACAGGATCAATATCTCCTTTAATACAATCATACATCCATTATGATCATGAATCTTAAAATAACAAAATTTTATATAGGACATATTTATATGAACACAACAAAATTAGATACATATTGTTAAATAACAAATATGCATGTCATTTCTTCAAAAATTCACAACTAAACATGTTTATGTATTTAATATTTCTCTGTCATTTTAAGATCCTCGATCTATATAAAAAGCAATACCATAATATAGTACAGTACATTCGTAGTGTATATATAATATTAATTTTGTGTATGGATGGGGACAACCTTAAACAACATACTATAACTTAAAAATTATTTACTACTTAGCCAAGTTCCAAGACAAACTAGAAACGATTAATATATAATCAACTAATAAGCATCTTTACACGAAAACCGAACCCCATCCATAAAACAAACATACTAGTTGCTGACACTGTACGTTGAAGTGACGACTCGCGTGTACACGATCAGAATGGAAGTAACCGACTTGACGCACACTCGGGAAGCAATCGATGAGACGACTGTGATCTTATTTGGTTCATACCTGAAATAATAAACGGAACTTATCAAATGATACAAGATATTCACGTAACAGAATAAAGATATAGACGAAAAAAAACTATAACTTAGTAGGTATGTTATAAAATATTAGTAGTAGAATTGTCATTATCTAATATATAAAATTTAGGTCTGAGAATCTGCTACTATGTACCTATTTTTCATATTCCTAAGTGATAAGGGTTGTGCACGCAATATTTTTTTGTTTGTAAGACGAACTTTTTGTTTTTATTGTTTTATAATGTGGGCTATAAAAATACATACAACCCTAAATTTTTTATCAACAAACCCTATTTTTTATATGGCAAAACAACATCTGACGGGTCAGTTAGGCTTAAAAAGACTTATATCCAGAGCCGTAAGAACATTTACAAAAAAAATAAATAAAAATACGTGTCAGTTAGTTTTTAAATAAAATTATTGTAAGACGATTGTTATATAGTTATATTTACCGTACGCGATGAATGCATGGCCTCACATCGCTAGACGGGGACCTCTTCTTGCTCCTGTTCCCGCTGACGTACAGCCACGGCCGTCTCCACCAGCAGGTACAGACATTTAAACTTGTCACGTTCGTCCGTCTTGCGTCGCAGCGGGTGAGGCAGCTGCGGTAAGTGGGCCAGCTGAGGGTGCCAGCCCCCGGCGCCTCCGCCTCCAGCTGGGGACACCTCGGGCTCCCCGTCCTCAGCTGTCCGTACTGTCACTACTGCCGCTGACCTGGAAATATATAGCCTTATATTACTATGACAATACTTGTAAGGCCATACTTATATATTATTGTTTTTATTCCACTAGGTAAAAAAACTTGATCATTGGTGGATTTATATGTATCCTACTAATATTATAATTTCGAAAGTTTGTGTCTGTTTGTTGCGTGTTCACGCTCAAACGACTGAAACGATTTTGATAAAATTTTGTATACAGTAAGCTGACGTCCAGGAATAACACATAGGCTACTTTACATACAATCCGCGGGTAACACGGCGGGGCGGAGGTAGTATACAATATTTCCTTGTAACTGTTCATATGGTAGTGATTTCTATAGTGCTAGTATCAATTCCGCGCAGGCCCTCCTGTAGTGTATGTATCTATACAATAGATACATACATATCTATTGTATAGATACATACACTACACGATAATACACTGTCTCACGTACCACACTGGAGAGGGTGGCATGCGCTCGCCAGTCTAATGACTAGCGTGGAGCAGAACGGGGACGTGCGTCGCCCTAGGCGGGGTAGTAGTGAGCCAGTGACTAGTTATAGTTAAATGTAGGACCAGGGATCCTACACCTCCCATATACACACCCTCTGGCCGCGGGGTGCAGGTCCCTATCCTCGGGCCCGTACCGTATGACGGACTGCCACACGGAGGGGTCGTACTTGACCTCCTCCTCGGAGATCGCGCTTGACGAGTATCCCTCCTCAGCATCCGCACCCTCGTCTCCGTCACTGCGATACACGAGCAGACCGTCGCCGTAGTCGTGGTCTCGACCGCGATCTCCATCGCCTTCGCCCTGAAACGAATAATATATATTATAATCTATATTACTACTTAAAGGTTTATATGGAACTTAATGTTTGTATTGATTGATGACACTGGTCATAGATGGTGCTGACAGGCTGGAAATGATATTCAATATTATACATACAGTATTCCAATCTCATTATCACTAATTACAGTACAGATGTACATTAATAGAGTATTTTAACTCTAAGTTCATCATGTAAATGAGGGGTCACAATTCCCTGGTAGTTGTATATATCCACTAACCTACTAATCTATGTTATATATATGTACATATATATCCCTTGGTTAGGTAGAGAGAGGAGCTTGAACAGTGGAGGTGAGCGATTAACGCGGGTTAGATAGGGTCCCTTAAACCTACACCTGGGTCACAAGTCCCAGTCATTGTTGAAGCTCCTCTCACTACAACGATGGACCCGGCACCCACACGGTGAATCCATTGAATGCTAAGAGGTTTTGTATCTACAAATCTACTAACCTCTCCCTCGTGTTCTCCCTCCTCCCACGCAGCAGCCTGTGAGCTCGACCCAGCACCCAGTTGCTTCCTTCCTCTTCGGGAGATTGTGTAGTGTAAAGGATCGTGACCTTCGCGACGGATCATCTCCGGCAGGATACGACGGCGGGCGTTTATGAACCAGTTGCATACCTTAAGACACATAGGTTCAAATATTGATGGTTACAATACAAACAGTAACTTAAAAAGTACAATTAATAGTTTATATATTTATTTATTTAAAATGCTCTACTGCGCAACATGGAAAAAAAAAGGGGAAATACAAATCATAAAATAAATGTAGTAATACATTGTGCGCAAAGGTGGTCTTATCACTTATAGAGATCTCTGACAGACAACCGCTTATATATTGGTGTAAGTTATTAGCTTGAAGTAAACATACTTGTAGTACTGTGAGGTTAGCTTCCTGACTGAGTGTCAGTTTCTCTGCGTCACTGGGATAAGCGTTGTAGCGGTGCTCGTACAGCCAACGTTTTAATATCTTCACTGAATGTTTTGGAAGGTTCCCTCGTCTCTTCCTCACTATGATGCCACCCTGGACATAACAATATTAATTTTAAACAACAAACTTTAAAATCATTGTTATTTATAGAGATATATTATTTAGATTTCTATAGAACTCATGATTCTCATTAATTCTGTACTTAATATTAAATATTCTAACCAAACCAGTGACATCAAATTATCTATATACACAATAAAAGAAAAACATTCATCAGAAAATATCTTTGATTATATATATATATATAAGTTCGAGAAGGATATACTACTAACAGGTGGCTGTACGATGTGTGCTCCATGTGAGACCCTCCGTCTCTCGAGCTCTCCATCGGTACCCGACTCGTTGTCGTCCGTCGACGACGTGGAAGGGAAACGATCACGTGCTGTCACAGAAAAAGAAACTATCTTTAAATTATAAAATAATTCTTCACTCTCTATAACGTTATAGTTTGTAAATGAGAAAAAATGTTGGCTCAATATGGAAAGCCTTTGCCTGCATATCACATTAAGATGTAGATTGTAGCTATTAGAATTTCCATGACAGTAAATTTGGAAACATATTTTTTATAGCGGTCCCATTAAACTGCATTTCAGTTTTCAATAATATTTTACTATAGAAGAGATTTTAAAATGTAAGAAACTTAATAGGAAATTTTATATCTCCGATCGTAAAACAAAATATCACGTCTATAAAAAAAATTAAAACATTTAGTTAAATAACGCGAATTATTTCTAATAAAACTAAAAAATCGCTCAATAATCTACATTTAATGGTATTTCATCTCATAGAAGTATAAATGTTCATCGCATTGCGCCTAGGACATTAGGTTTTATAACTGTATTTACTTTACAATCTATATTTAGGTCTTGTAAGCGGCAAAAATGACAGTCGGCTGACATTTTTATGCGTTATCCGAACGCCAATCTGTCAACTAAATTTATATACAACACTTACACTCACATAACACTAATAATACTATACTAAAATCAAATAATCTAGCTTACTATTCATCGAAAATATTATTTAACACACGCAATAATTCCGTAATCGCTATAAAACGAAATTATTAAAATACATAACTGACACGGAAGTAAGAAAAAGAAAGATGGCCGTCACAACAAAGCGTAAAGGGGAGAGGGAGGAAGATATCGATCGAGTTGAACGACCGGCTGTGACGCAATACAGCCAAGGACAAACATTCAGATAGCTCGACCCTATTCCTTACACATTAATTACGAAATTATAAATGAAGAACACGCGAGGAAACGGAAGTCGCAGCTTTTTTTTTAATTCAACAGATGTTTAGTCGTAAATCCATGCCTAATATAATCTCAATGTAAAAAAAAGCAATTGTATGTAAACTAAGTATTGATAAAAAATGAGGTTCATAATATTATGTATTTGCTTTTTTTTTTTAAAGAAGGCTTATTTTATATATGACTGCTTCTTCAGGATCAACTTAATTAGAATGGAGATATATGTTTACTCATAAAATAATAAAATATGTTTTTAAAGACAAACAATTGAAATAACAGTCCTTCAATAGTTCTTATTTGATTAGTATATAATATTACAATATAACTATAGTCATAAAGGTTCATGTAACAAAAATAATTTTGTTTCAATAGTATTTTTTTTTCGGGTTTTAAGAATACTTTAACTTATAAATGAATAAATATATAACCGTGTAATTAGATGATTATTCATAATTTTAAGTTTCTATCAGTAACCTACTTATGCACAGATAATATTTCTTATCACATACTTCTTCTTCAATATGATATAAATGTATCATAATACCATCTAATATTACTTCACAATTAAAATAAATATAATATCTCAAAAATCAGTTCTGTGTGTATAATTTAATATTTCTGTTATGTTTCAATATATTTAAAACATCAACAAACAGTGGCGCCGCCTGTGTTGGCGCGTGATAAACTATTAAACGTCGGCCATCTTGTTATATGATCAATGTCAATTTACTGTCAGAGCAAGTTAAGTCAAATATAAAACACAAAATAAACACTTATCAATTGTCTAATGCGTTGTTTTAGGGTCGCAATATTGAATGGAAGGACATAATTTTCGTTATTTTGATATAATTTCACCTATAGCTAGTCGATATGGCATTGACTACTGGCTGTCCAAAAATAACTTGTGCACGTGCCTACGATTTCTAGATATCAGTTAACAGGGGTCTATTCGTGGTATACGGCATAAATTTGTATTAAATATATAAAAAACTAATTTCATTATGAAGTTAATTGTCGTTATAAGGACATGAGACGCTTGAACATAATATTATGTGTTGCATTGGCGCCATTTTACTTTCGCAAGACCATGTTCCTGATGACGTAACAGTCCTAGTTTTTATGAGATCCACTGCTCTAAGGAAGCAATACATAAAGGATAACGTTTTTACTGTGATTTTATTCCAAATAATTCTTGTTTTTATATAAATGTCACCTTGACATAATACGTCAATCTGACAAGAATGGCGGAAACGTGGCGTCGTTTTGGCCGGCTTGCTTACCTCCAGGCGACATAGATTGTTTTCTGTTTGTCACACGAGCCTCTCTAATAATGTCTCTTGTAATTTCTCGTACGTCGCGTCGCTGTTGATACGCCATGTCGGTCCGGTCACGTTGTTCTTGTGCTATACCGGCCGTAGGTGGTAACATCGTCACTCAATCCATGCGAATATAGATGATTTCGCCGATCCACTAGTAATATAACAATCCAATAAATAAATTGAAGCACTGTTCTCAATATGTAAACAACAGTCAAAATAATAAATAATAAAACACAAGCGAACTACGCTCAGCTAACCGAACTAAAGCGCGACTGTGGATCGTTTGGGGGGACGGCGGGAAGATACGCTACAGCGCCGTCGCGCAGTTGTCTCTGCAAAGGCAATTTTATATAGCTGTCTCTTTCTTACCTACAACGCTTCGATGACAGTGTGTTAGTACTGTCAAAACAAAGCATGGGCTTGGCAAGATATTTAAATGTCAACTATATTTAATAAAAAAGTGCCATCTATTTTCAGGTTACGTAACTTCTGCAAAAACTGGAACATTTGCTTATTCCATATTTGGATTAGGCGTTTTCGATAAATACAGAGATGTCACTAGTACCCAAACCGTTTTATATAATCTTTGGAACTTTCATAAGAAAGAAAAGTAATTATGTATTACAATAAGCATCAAAACTTTTTACGAGAGTCATAATTATAGACTATGAAACCTCGTAACTATTTCTTTAATTGTAGTAATTGATAAAAGGCAGATAGTTTTTATTATTAAATTTTTTGATATAATATTCTTAAATGCTCAGGGAAAAAATAAAAAATACATATACAAAGAAAATGATGTCAAAATAACTTATAAAGTAACAAATTTCATCATGATTTTAATCTATAACTATTATTCATAAGTGTTTATATAACTGCGAGTCGAAACCCACCAAGCGTCACTTTAAAAGTTGTCATGTTTGAGTTGATATCACAATTCGACATTTATATACAAATGGGTTGGGCAATTAAATAAAATGCTTTCTTAGATAGTTTATATAACAAATAACCCTTGCAGCTTCAAGTAGTTAGACAAATATGGTAATAAAAAGTACTATAGAGTAATATAGGGTATACTTCAATGCTATGTGGTATTTAACTACTTAAAAGGAGCAATTAAAAGCGTAAAACTGTAGAGTTTTTATTTTTTAATACTAAGTATAATTTCATATACATGACGGCCATATCTTTACTTTGTTTTAAAGTTCATTTTTTATCTGTCTTTTTCATTTTCTTTTGAACAAGCTACTTAAGTATATTTATATTATCATGATTCAAAATGTATTTGATGTTATATTGTTCGTATTAAAACTACCGAATTTCTATTGATAAGGATACTTTATATTGATGACTTAGTTTTCTTATTAATAAATCATTGTGTATAATATGTATTTTTAATAAAATGCATATTTTAAGTGTATATTATATACATTGATATTACATAATGTTTATTATATACATTGATATTATTCATTATGTATGTTGGTATAAAGCTATTTAAATGTCAGAATCTTAAAATATTTTTTAAACATAACGCCAACCAAAACAAAAATCCCTAATTTCCTTAGTAGGTACACTAGAGTTGTATTAAGATTTTTTAATCCCTAGAGTTCAAAACCATAGACAATAATCTCATGCAAAAGTAGGCAGTCGTGACTATCGTAAGTTTTATGTATGAACTGTGCCGCGGCCTCTCATAATTGTCATTGATCATAATATAATATGGTTATGATCAAAATAGGTTTTTTGAGCACTGTTCATTTAATAATATCATGAATTCATTTTAAAATAAAAAATATCAGGAACACACGTCTTGATATACCAATATTCACCTCTTTGATCATTAAAGAGTTTTAGAATTGTTTGAAAACTCCTAATTAAAACTCATACTACACTAAATAATCCCTAAGAATGTAACAAATATTTGTTTCCTATCCATATCGTATTACAAGATTTATTCTGAGGTTTAGTATTAAAAAAATATTCATAAGCTGGCAAGAATACATGTTAATAATAACTTTTAACTGTAACTAGAAAATCTCAAAAAGTATTTCCAAAAACTGCTCAGTTATTGTGTTAGTTAGTCCTGAGTTTATAGCGTTAACAGTTTTATAAATATTCGAACACAATAGTATTTACGTGGTAATTCTAATAAGAAATGGGAACGCTTCGTATGTTATATGACTTTTGCTAAGCATGCATATTTTAACGTTAAAGAAATCTTGAGCTGACATTTAAATAAAAATATTAATTACTAGTTTTTGCCCGCGACTTCGTCCGCGTTAGTTTGGTCAAGAGTTAATATATGATATAAGAGTTAATATATGTATAGCTGACCAGGCGAACTCTATTCCGTCTTAGAGGCCATAAATAATCAGGTTTTTCCTGTTTCAATCAAACAGAATGATTGACATATTAGTTAGTTGTCAAATATAATGTCAAAAAAAATGTTTGTATGGGAAATAGAAAAGGGCTGTTTTTAGGGTTTTCCCGGCAATTATTTAAATTTTTCTCACGTTTTAAACCTTTCCTGGACTTCCAGGAGTATTTCAAGACTAAAATTAGCCAAATCCGTTCAGCCGTTCTCGAGTTTTAGCGAGACTAAGGAACAGCAATCCATTTTTATATATATAGAAGATAAAATATACATTAAAGTAGGCATCAATGCAATTGTGCTTAGCATACAGAATACTCAAGTAATAATATTGAAATTATTGATGGTTATAACTGACATCGATGTTTTTTTTTATAAATAGACTTTATGATTAATATATTTTTTTATTTGTAGTATAAATAAAAAAGTATGTAGGAGGGCGTTATAAGAACAGGAGGGCCTTCATGGGAACTCATACTTTGAAAGGGATAAAGTACAGTCTATTCAATACGACACCAACTCAATCGAAACACTAGATATCACTATCACTTCGATACACAGCGATTCGTCACGAGCGCGGTGCGCGGGCGTCATCCCGAACCACACTAAGATGGCCGCCCTCGCTACCATCACAATGACGCTTCACTTTTTTTTTTTTTTTTTTTTTTTTTTTTGTGCGCACTGGGATAAAAATGCTTTACGCATCCCCTCTCCGTCGGGAGACGGGGAGGGGTATGTGGGACTCCCCGGGAAGAGGATTCCCGGTATACCCACTAAAACAACCCAGTGGCGCTCCGACCTCGCCTGACTGACAGGGGGCTGGGAATCCGGTTGCATCCAGCCCCCCGCCTGCGATTGCCCGCCTTCTGGCAGACCCCTCACGCCCCCCCTTGTGGGGGAGGGCTCTGTTGTGGCCGGAGCGCACGGCCATCTCTGGCCGTCGCAGGGGCGGATGAAAGTGGACGCTGTGTGCGTCGCCTTCCGCCCCTCCTTCTTCTGCGGTGCTCTGGAGCTCTCTCGCGCTCTCGCTCCGCCGCCTCCTTCTGTGACATTACGTCTTCGCAGAAGGAGGCAACTGCGGTCCACGCCTCCTCACTCCCCAGCATGGCGGTGACCACACGAGGGAGCGAGAGGTCGCGGCCAATCACTGCCACCAGTGCACGACGGGGCACGGCCCACGATGGGAATGACGCTTCACTAGGCTAACCTCAGACAGCTAAAAGTCAACCTGACGTATGATTTTTGACGGATGCGCCGTCACGGCCGGACTGACATTCGACCGTCCTCGGGCGGTTCTCGGATCAATGAACTACAGTTGTGTCTATTCCGTTCGGCATCCTGACAAACGACTAGTTACAATCATCAAAATGTGCTATGGTACTTAAGACTTAAGGCGAGCATCTCGTAGCAATTAAGCCGGACGACAACGCCTTGTCACTTAACAGCATGTAGGTTAACTGTTCACAATTAGTAGGTACTATTGGACAGGTCGGTCCTTTGGTGGATGTGACCCGGACGACAACATTCGTCTTACCACGATACTCAAAATATTCAGAACAAGTCAGCCAACGTAAATGGATCTGAACCGGACGACAACATTCGTCTTACTACCGTCTGCAGAGCATCCAGAACAAGTCAGCCAACGTAAATGGATCTGAACCAGACGACACCATTCGTCTTACTACAGTCTGCAGAGCATCCAGGACAAGTCAGCCAACGTAAATGGCTCTGACTCGGACGACAATATTCGTCTTACCACAATCTGCAGGGGTTCCAAGACAAGTCAGCCAACGTAAATGGATCTGACCCGGACGACACTATTCGTCTTACCACAATCTGCAGAGCAACCAGGACAAGCCAGCCAACGTAAATGGCTCTGACTCGGACGACAATTTTCGTCTTACCACAATCTGCAGGGGTTCCAAGACAAGTCAGCCAACGTAAATGGATCTGACCCGGACGACACTATTCGTCTTACCACAATCTGCAGAGCAACCAGGACAAGCCAGCCAACGTAAATGGCTCTGACTCGGACGACAATTTTCGTCTTACCACAATCTGCAGGGGTTCCAAGACAAGTCAGCCAACGTAAATGGATCTGACCCGGACGACACTATTCGTCTTACCACAATCTGCAGAGCAACCAGGACAAGCCAGCCAACGTAAATGGCTCTGACTCGGACGACAATTTTCGTCTTACCACAATCTGCAGAGGTTCCAGGACAAGTCAGCCAACGTAAATGGATCTGACCCGGACGACAACTTTCGTCTGACCAATCTGCAGAGCATCATCACACACATATCAGTGAACAATGATCGAGACGTAGACTCCAATGACCTAGCCCCATCATCTCCACTACTTATACTCATGTGAGTGAACGATGACCCGGACATAGACTCCACCGAGCTAGCCCGTCCATCTCCACTAGCCAAACTCATGTGAGTGAACGATGACCCGGACATAGACTCCACCGAGCTAGCCCGTCCATCTTCACAACCTGATCAAGCGTCGACCGGACGTGGACTCCATCGAGCCAGCCCCTGCACGCTTTGATCCATCACTACTAGAAACATCGGCCGCATCAGCCAGTTTCATCGCCACCTCAAACACACCAACTCAAACTTACACAACTCATTTATGGTTTATCAATGTTGGAGGCCATCAGAGCTACTCAGCTACTCACTTTCATCATCTGACATAGCTTCGTTTCCATTCTCTCCACTCCATGACCCGCCGTCTCGGCCTCCTCATTACTTAGTTCAGTGGATATGTCAACTAACCCTTCAAAGCCTCTGGGTACTGCGCTCAAGTTTTCATGAGAGTATTTTAAAGTGCAATTAGATTCATCGGTATGTTTCAGTTCGTACCTATCGTTGTCTAGAATTTTAATTATGATAAAAGGTCCCCTAAACTTTCTTTGTAGTTTAGTTTGGTAACACTCGCTACACTTAACAAAAACGTAATCTCCCCGAGAAAGAAAAGAAGGTTTTACTTGGGCTTTGCCTTTATTAAATTTAACTACTTCCTTTTGATCTGCGTTTTCAGTGTTGAGGGAAGTTTTATTCCGGATATTGTCTAAATCTAATCTCGGCTCGTCTGAATTTTGGGCTATTAATGATATCCCTAAAGATTGCGCGCGTATGCCAAACATTAGTTCTGTTGGAGTATATCCTGTAACCCTACGGCTTGTGTTATTAAGTGCTAGAGGACTCTCCCAGACCAGAGCAATTCAGTAAGATGGGGTAAAGGTACCGAAAACACTTGCTATATCTGCGGAAAGGCAGTTGGAACTGCTAAGCATTCGCTAGTGAGATGTAAGGTTCTCCTGGACAGCGGTCAACTCTCGCGTCGTCACTATAGGGTTTTAGAGATCATACGTGAAGCGGCCAGTCCTTCGGTAGCCAGAGCGCAAAGGGAAACAACCACAAACGAACGATCAATAGGTTTTGTGAGAGAGAGCACCAGGGCTACAAAATCAAACGTCAAGCCCTACTCTATCCTTAAAGCGGCTTCGGATTAGACTATCATGATGGATACGTGTGAGAAACAACACAAAATCCCCGAGGATACTTGTGGTTCAGCCTCCAGACCAGACACATTTCTATATTCGCGTATTTCAAAGCGCGTTGTCACTAAGTATTACGAGCTCACTAACGAACTAACTCGAAATAGGTTCGTCGCCGATTCGTACGCGGTAAAGGTGGGAGCGAGAGGTATAACAGCCAAATCTCTCTACAACCTACCAAAAGACTTGGGCCCGTCCAGAACCAACATTAATTCATTCTTGGAACGTACGTCGAATTCAGCCCTAGTAGGTTCAATTAGTAGTAGTTTTCAAATTTGGCCAGGTAGGGAGAGGAACTTGGACAGTGGAGGTGAGCGTACAACGCGATTTAGTTAAGGGGCCCCTTAAACCCACACCTGGGTCGCAAGTCCCAGGCACTGCTGAAGCTCCCCTCCCTGCAACGCGATGGACCCGGCACCCGCACGGTGAATCCATTGAATGCTAAGCGGTTTCGTCCCTTGTACCTCAGGAAGTTTGTCACGCCACGTTTTATGGGTATCGTTTTCTATAATAGTTAGCAGACATTTTAAAATCTGCATGACCCTTTCTACTTGACCGTTGGCTTTATTTGCCCCTGTTGTTATAAAGTAAAGTTCTATACGAGGTGTTTTACTCAATTCTCTAAAGTCCGCGCTTACAAAGCCCCTTCCCCGATATAACAATTCGCTTGAGAACACCGAAAAGAGAAACAGCTTTTCTCAACGCTTTAATAGTACAACTGGCATCGAGGGATAGAGTATGCTCTTAAAGGACATACTTGATAACGTAATCAATCATTACTGACGCGTATTTCTTTTCTGTCGCTTTTGCCACTTAATGTCCCAGTCATATCTATGTATGTGAATAGTATGCCAATAAAATGTATGCAAATCCGTAGGAGAATTTACATGGCCAAAATAGCAATAACCCCACTGAATAAAATTTGGAGAGATAGGAAAATTATTAATGGAACAAAAATGCATCTGATACGAACGCTTGCCTTCTCTATATTTCTATCTATCTAGCTATCCGATTCTGTATAGTGCAAAGACGTGGACTATGAAAGTCGTTGACAGGCAAAGAATTGATGCCTTAGGAATGTGGTGATGGCGAAGTATGTTACGCATACCTCAAAATATGGTCGGCGCTTATCTAATATCTATTTGCAGCACATACTGGCGTTGATTGGTCAGTTCCCTGACAGAACTACGGACAGCTTTAAACGTCCGCTAGTGATTGAAAAAGTGGACGGTAACCGAACTAGAGGACTAAATCCCAAAAGGTGACTGGACCAAATCCCAGAACACCTAAAAATACCTGCCTGCGTTGCACTCCATCAAGAAACTAAACGTGTCTATCTCAGTATGGATATGGTTGATTTAAGTCCATACAAGGGACTGATGGACGATAGGTTACCAACGACTAACTTTGTTTCGCTCAATTTTTTTTCGATATAGCATATTGTTTCTAACATCGTAGATGTGACTAATTGAATCGGGAAACTTATTATTTAAGAGCTGAGCAACAATATCTTGAACATATGCATCACGTTTTTGTTCTACCGCTAACCACCCTTGATTTACCTCTACAAACTGCACAGACTTATTAACTACTTGAGCCTTGCTTTTGTCGCTCTTGGAAGTGCCCTGCTCAGGGTCATCTATGTACTCTCGGTGTTAATTTTTTTTTTTTTTTTTTTTTTTAACTAAGAAGCTTTGAAAGGATTGCCACCCGTGAAAACAATAAAATGATGACCATATAGCTTTTGCTTCAAATATTCTTCCGCTCGAACGACTGCCGAGGTCTCAAGTTCATAAGAATGATACTTTTATTCCGTGTCAGTTTTCCGGCGACTGAAATATGAAATAACGTGAGGAACTCCGTTCTTTCATTTAATTAAAATGGTACCGTATCCGTTGGCGCTGGCATTCGTGTGTAATTCTATAGGAGGCTCGCGATCAAATATAGTTAGAATAGACTCCGTGGTAAGTATTTGAACTATCCATTTACGGATATTACCGTGGACTTCTGACCGTTTAATTAAACCCTTTAACTTAGTAGACATAAGGATCGTACTAGGCGGAAATAGTTCGGTATAAAATTTCTAAAACAAAAGGCTTACTATAAGAATTGGTGTTAATCTCCCTAGAGTCAACATACATTATGTCAGAGTTGTCATTCGTTTTTTTTTTACAATTAGAATGGGGCTTGATAAAGTGTAAAATGATTGTTTCAAAGAGGGCATCCATTTTTATTTTTTTTTTATATCGAACAACCTCTTATAATTTGTAAGGTCTCTCTTAGACTATGTTAGGGTCTAAAGAATTAGGGTCTAAAGAGTTAAGAGGTGCCCTTAATAACAAAATGAGTTATACTTCTTAAAAACATCGATAAGGGCTTTGTTATCGTCGCCTTCCAAATAAGTTTTGATACGAGAAAAGTTAAGATTGTCTGAGGTTGAGCACTTATCTGTTTTTGTCGTTTCAGGTTTTGAGAAAATAATGTAGTCACTGTTTATTTCTCCTTTAATTCCCTACTCTACAAGGTCCCGTCCAACAACCACGGATTCAAAAATAATATTCTCTTTAATAATATGAAACAAAAGAGACACTGAAACATTTTGAATTATGACCGGGCTTAAAATTTGTGCATTACAATAAGTCTATAGACGTAGAAACACTAATAATAATTGACTGTTAATGTACACGAAGTATGACTAGAGTATTCAGTACCGAAGCGCAAGGTTGAATGACCTTTATTCGCTAATACGATCTAATATTAAAATCTTACGAAGTGGTGGGTAAGCGTGAAACTCATATCGTCGCCCGTTCGCTTCGACCGTATACTACGCGTTCAGATGCCTTTCAGGGGAACTACTTCATTGCTCAAAGTACACAGAAATTTATTTGAAAAATTTTCAGATACAGACACACATTAGTACTACATGAACAAGTACACCCACTACTAAAAAGAAAAGGAACAGTCTCACCAGATGACGTCGTCAACTCCCCTCGGCTCGGCCCATGGTCACACAGATATCTCCTTCACCGGCGAGCCTCAATTACCGGTACCTTATACGATCAAGACACGACGAGACGTCCTAACCCTTATATCTGCTTCCGTACGATCCAGATTGAACCGGATCAACTACGTCGTCGAAGTTAGTTGAGAAGTTGACATTATTTTCATCGACAAGTTTCTCATTATTTTTTACAAAGTTTAACATAGATGGATGATCACTACTCTCCTCATTTTAAAGCCCTTTCGATCCCACTTCTGATGTAGGAGGGCGTTATAAGAACAGGAGGGCCTTCATGGGAACTCATACTTTGAAAGGGATAAAGTACAGTCTATTCAATACGACACCAACTCAATCGAAACACTAGATATCACTATCACTTCGATACACAGCGATTCGTCACGAGCGCGGTGCGCGGGCGTCATCCCGAACCACACTAAGATGGCCGCCCTCGCTACCATCACAATGACGCTTCACTAGGCTAACCTCAGACAGCTAAAAGTCAACCTGACGTATGATTTTTGACGGATGCGCCGTCAAGTATATTAATCATAAAGGGGATATATTATTATGATATAAATTTTTATCCATTTGGTGAATACTGTCAAATATATATTAATTTGATGGCATATTACTTTTAAAACCATAAAAATAAAAAAAAACGTAATAATATTTAAGGACGGATTTATTATGCAGCAATTAGGCAGCCATGAAACAATTGAACATACATTATTTATAATAATACTAATAAATTATTTATAATCTAGTAGGAGTGGTTCTTGATGGATTCGATGAGTCTCTTGTAGACGACCTGAGGGGCGTGCTTAGAGAACTGGAAGTCCATGTGGCTGAAGTGTTCGGTCGGCACCTTGAACAAGTCTCTCACGTCTGGTAGTTCTGCGTGTAACCTCTCCACGTCCTTGGGATGAGCCAGCCAGTCCTCCTCGCTGTAGTACAGAGCCACAGGCACCTTGACCTCTGTCATGTTGTATCGAGGAGGCTGGTGTTGTCCGTATATCATGGTGTTGATGTCTGAACCGTAGTCGTACTTCCTCAATCCCTCAGAATCAACAGCCTGACCGTACTGCTTGATCTGTCTCGTGGAAGCACCGGCAGGCAAGTGTCTGACGATCACGGGCACTAGATCGTACTCCATGTCTGAAGTGTCAAAACCGGCTACGACGAAGTTGACGTTCGAGCAAATAAATTCGCATTGAATTTCTTTCTTGCACATGTTCCCGCCGATGGTGTGGACCACCTCCTTGGTTGGCTTGAACTCGCCGTGTCCGAGTTCCGTGTGTAAGTTCTCGTAGAAGCGGCTGCTCGGGGATATCATTCTCATGAGAGGACTGCGGACGTGATTCATGTAAACCATCGGAGCCATGGCGAACATCATGGCTATCTTCTCTCTGTACTCTGGGCGAGACGAAGTCAAGGCGAAGAAGGCGGTCGTACCCTGGGAGTGGCCGACGTAGAACAGCTTCTCTTGTTTCGAGTACTTTAAGACATAGTCGATCATTGTTGGTAAATCATGAAGGGCTATCTCGTCGATGCTGAATCTCCAGAAGTCGGGGTGAGAGACGTGCTTGCTGACGTGGTGTCGGGAGTATCTGCTACCTCTGATGTTACCCAACCATACATCGTATCCAGCATCAGCCAGAAGGTAGGCCAGTGACTTTTCAGGGCCCATCAGTAGCCAGTCGTCAGCGCTTCCTAGAAGACCGTGCATGAGGAATACGGCCGGACGATCCTTAATGTCCAGGGTAACTTCTCTAGGTTGGATCCTGAACAGTGTAAGGATATAACCGTCATCTGTTTTCACAATGTGTTCTTCGACTTTATAGTTGTGGCGTCTGATGAGTTCAGTGGCGTTAGAGTTGACGTCTTCCTTCCTCGTCAGCTTGTTGAAAGCTTCGTGGTACTTGGTTTTGTCTTCCTCGGTGACATGTTGCATGGTCTGATAGGCGTCGATGAAGATGCGTTCGATGTCTTTCTTGTTTGTCACCGGTGATTTGGGTCCTGCTGCTATTTGGACTCCCTGCCAGGCGATGACGTCACCATATGGCATTTGATCGCCCTGGTTGATAACGGCTGACAAAAGGGGGGCGTTCCAATCTATTCCACTTCGGTATGATGCTGGCACGTCTCTTGACTTGTCATCCCGTTCTTTGGTTTCCTCGGACGAGGAATCCCTGTGGTAGTTTATGTTCGGGTGTTTCGCTGGAACTTGATCGTAGTAGTCTAGCGGTGTGACGATCAGACCGTCCAAGTCTTGGAGGTAGGGTCGCCTGAAGATGCTCCCGGCTGTTCCTCGGAGCAGGGTGATGCAGAGGAGGAGGTAGATGGCCCTCATTTTGCCAGAATCAGTTTGATAACATTTGCTTCTAACACGCCTTATTTATACAAAATATTTTGCAGATACAGCACTGACGTTCGTATTGTAAAATGCGTAATTGCTTTTTAGTATTCAAAAAGACAAATACAAGTAATTTACTCAGGATTTCGTCACGTTTTTGATTTTATTGAAATTACAAAATTACTCAAAAATGTTAATACATATTATGATGTGTTAGGGCTAGTTATTATCAAAATAGATGTTAATTAAACTCGTCCTTTAGCTTCATCTCAGTCGGGTAAAAGGAAGAGCTAGAATTTACTTAAATATTCGTTTATTAGTGATGTGTTTAATGACGTCATTTTAATATTTAAATCACAACATACATACAGACATTGTAAGTACATTTATAAGTTTTACCTCTTTTGACTTATTTGATGTTTATGTTGCTGGCGTTGTATTAAAATAGTTTTATCTTGTACTGACTGGGTTTAATATAACGATTTTAAGACTTGTTCCTGTCATAAAATATGTGATTAATTATGATTTTACTTCATATGTATGAAAAATACCTACATTATGACATCTAACAAAAATCTTTGTAAAAGTGTATTAATACTTAACAATTATAATTTACATATATACTCCTAGGACAAGTTTCTATCGTGGAACATAATGATAGTTTTTCAGTTTTTCATTAGTTAATATTTATATCGAGTTTACTTGAACATATGTAAATTTGAAATGGTTAGTGTTTTTTTTTTTTTAGAAAAACAAACTGGAACTATGGGTATTAAAATTTATTGAATAAAAAAAATTGCAGTGTTTGTTATAGCTACTCATGTATTTCCTGGATTTTTAATAAAAGTTAACGATGTGACAGGTGACTACAGCATAAAAAATGTTTATATTTAAAATTGCACATCTATCAATTACGCAGTATGTAGTGCAACTAATTGTTATTAGTTATTAAAACATATTCATAAAGTTTCATTTAAAGGTTTCTAAAATAATATATTTGCAACTGTGTCACACATGTTATGAATGTAATGTAATTTCACACATGTTATGAATGAGTAGGTACCTTAAAAAAAAGTAATAGAATTGTTTATTAAATTTGAAATAAAACTCCAAATATATTGGAATTTGAAAAGTGTGTGAGCTTAACAGATTTATCGCAGAAAAAAATCTTCACATTATACAGGAAAAGAAATAAAACATCAACGAATTCTGTCGATCCATTTGACGCGTACCATGCCATATAAACATTGACATCACACGGCAAAAGTCAAACCTAAAACTTTTTTCTTCAGCATTTAATAATTTCTATCATCATTTTTAAAAATCATTTCAGTTATCTGTAAAGTCGAGTTCTTTTAATAAAACATTTTTTATTTCCATTCTTTTTAACATGCTTTAAATTTCTATTTTACTGGCCTGTATGCTTAGTACATATAAGTTTGCATCGACATATACTAATGGATATGCCTTAGAGATGAGAATTGTGGCACTCCGAAAGAAGGAGAGGAAACGAAGTTTCGGTCTATCTTTATCTCTCTCAAAATAGTACCGTACTGACTGAGCGCCAATCATCTATGAGGAAAGAGAGAGTGCTAGACCGAAAGCATGGGCCATCTTTCTCACTGTTTTCAAACCAAAAAATTACTGCAGAATGCAGATTATACGCGTACGGCATGTCCATTAGTATAATATGTCGATGTAAGTTTGCATCCTCACACTTTATAAAAAGCGTTTTTCGTTTTTCATTCTATAACTGACGTTGATATTATATGCGATGATTTATTGATGAAAAACTGTTAGTTTGCCGAACTCTACATACTGGTTATAAATCATTTAAGAAACCTTAAATTAAAAATTATAAAAGAAATATTTAATAAAAAATTAAAAAATTGAATGAAAACAATTGATAAACTCAAGCGTTATAATTATTATTATCATTTTCAAGTATTGAATTTTTACAATAATATTTATCTTTCCATCAAGGTTTTACAAAGGTCACACAACGAACTCTTAGAAAGATTTTTAAAATATTTTAATTATTTAGTAAGTAGTAAGAGTATATGGGAATATATATAAATAAACTATTTAATTTGAGAAGACAAAATTTTATAAGTTATAGGGTATTTTATTAAATTTTTTATAAATGATTAAAAGGATACATTGACAGTACAAATAAAATTTCTTGTATAATTTAGAATTATAGAATAGATTTAAAATGTAAATGTGATATTATGCAAAGTCTGTGTTAAAACCTCCTTTTATAAATGTTAGCTAGTCTTACTCGAATCTTCGTCTTCAATTAAAATAATTGTTATTTTTCACGTTCAAGTTCTTTTTTGAAAAGTCCTGTGGATGAATTTTATTTATCAGTATATATTATATATCTTTATTATAGTGTTATTGACCCTTTATTTTGTCTTTGTTATAATTAAAACGAACCAGAATATTCCCCCAAAAAAATAAATCATTATATATTTATTTCCTATAATTGTAGAATAGTCCCTACCAAATTTCATAGTACCTACTGGGTATTTCTGTCATTTTTAAAATTTGATTTTTTTTAAGTTTCAAAGGGTTATTGACCTGATTACATTTTTATTGCAACTTGATACTTCTACGTGTTACCTAGATAGTGTAGTGTCAAAGTAGTAAACGGACAGACAACAATCTGATCCTACATCTACAATTCTGTTCTACCTTTTCATTTACCGGCATGCTTTGTCTGAGTTTGCATCCTCACACTACAAAGTAGGCGTTAATAATTTCTTATTTAATAAACTTATTTCAGAGGGTGTCGGGTGTAGGGTCCATAATTGTAAGGAGAGGAGCTTCAGCAGTGACTGGGACTTGCGATCCAGGTGTAGGTTTAAGGGCCCCTATACGAGTATAACGCGCGTTAGACGCTCACCTCCATCGTCCAAACTCCTCTCTCTATCTAACCAAATTTGAATAGAACCTACTAGGACTGCCTTTGAAGTATGATAATGTGTGAAGATGTATGAATGAGAAACTGTTAATATTCTGTTCGTTACGATGTATTTCATACTAAACAAATTGAACCCTAAGTCTAACACACAAATTATTAAAGCGTCAATATTTCGTAATGTTTGTACTTTGTACGTAATGTAATTATCTGATGACAAAACAATATACAAGCTGACATACAATATTAACAACATTGAATACTAATTCTGACTGTAAATCATTTTGCATAGTTTTTTTTTAAGATTCATTAAAATTTAAATTACATTAATTAAACTTGCTTAGAAATTGAAAGTTATATAAGAATTACTTGAATAGTCACATTTGGTGATCAAGTTAAATATGAAGCTGTAATAGGAACAAAATATACACTAAAAATTGTATTTTAGTACAAGTATTGTTTTTACTTCACTATATTTAAACTTTTTATATATTTATATAAGCAAAAGTGTATTTTAAACTTTTTTATTATCAATTACCTATGACGGGACTAAAACACTGTATTATATGAATTAGACTATGAAACTTAAAAAAAATATTAAATATTTTGGAAGAAAAAAGTTTTTTAAATTATGCTTGGAATAATCTTAAACGTATTGTGGTATTAGTTCAGATTAGATTTAATTTCTAATACTCATTATTCCTCAGTGTTGCCACCAAAATCAGGACATCAGGACGTAAAAAAATACAGTCTGTCTGTAATTTACAACAATAGATAAAAAATGCATTATGATTTATGGAGTTACGAATTACGATACAAGTAAATAATTTTTAGAATAAAAATCGTTTGAAGAAATATTCGATGACGGAACTTAAAGCCGTGTTTAATTTTAGGAAAAAGTTGGTGGAAAATGGAATTATAAAGAAGAAATAATAAGTTGACAAGTTAGAAAATATCATTCTAATTCCTCATATCACAGTATGGAATACGTAATAAATGGAAGCATTCAGATTATAAACGCAATATTTATTTAAATATTTGGTCAAAACACAAAACGAAGACCGTAGTATTTGCATGTTACATCTTCGTAAGCCGTGATATGAATCTTTGTCATCTTTTAGCCCAATCCCCACTCTTCAGTACGTAGTAATACGACATGTGATAGATGAATGAAAAATCTTCTAAATTGTACTTGTCATCAAAGCTTGGTTTTTATATACATTAACTTAACATATGTTTTTATAATTTTTGTATCACAATAGAACGTTTGGTTTCACAGATTTTACTATGAAATCGGAATTCAGAATTTATTTCAGAGTACATTTACCAACTTTTTGATACTTAAAAAATATATAAATATTTCTTTGACTTATAATAATAATTCTGTTTTTATCAGAGATAGTTATTATCCTCAATATTTAGGATGCTTTATTGAACTGATGGTAGCTGGTTTGTCGAATAGCTCAAAGGACTTTGTGACCTTCTCAATCCTCACAGCAATTTATCAAGAAGTTATTCAACGTTTGATGTATGTAGAAGAATTATTCTACTATAGCATGCCTATAAACAGTGACTTCTTCTACCTTGTATTTAGTCTTTAAAATTGCAACGAATCAGGAATCAATTACTAATAAGTGAGGAAAATATTGTCTGAAAATTGGTCAAGTGCATTCAAGAGTCAAAGCCTTATTTTTCGCACTTGATAGAAAAGATACCTAATTTATGCAATTTCGTTTGTACTATGAATATTTTTAAATTTAAATGATTACAGAGTGTACAATGTTAATATGTAATCTTAATATACGTTTATCATTTATGTATTAGTGGATTGATAATGTGTTACGACAGCTAACAGACCGTGTTGCTGGGACTTTATCACCGGTGATTGAGAGGTAAGGACGGTCATACAATTAAATATTACTAATAAAAAATACACTATCTTTGTGAGTTATTAATAGATAACGTGATTATATCTGGTGATGAATGTTGTAGTGTAGTGTTAAAACGTTTTACTTCTATACAATATTATATACTTTAACCATAATATTGCTATTTATAAGACTGAATTGTTGCAAATAATTTTTTATACTTCATGCAAAATGAAAGCTTTGTTTTTACAAGATTGAGTTATCACAAATCATTTTTTTTTTCTTTCTAAACTAAATAAACTAGATGATGCCCTCGAAGTTAACAAATATTTTGAATACTAGTATTTGTTTCTAGAAACATATACTCGTATTATGAAGTATTAGTCAAAAGAAGTTGGTATTAAAATTTATGTATTTCTATTTAGTTAAGATATCTGAAGAACCAAGATGGTAAGAAAATTAATTTATAAAAAAATATTATAAATCAATCTGCTCGCACATCTATAGATCTCTATCGCTTTTTTATCTAAATGTTGATGTGTAACTGCTGTGAAAATAAAGACAGTTGCAAAGTGATTAAAATTACCTCATTCTATTAATATATCTGCTTTATAATTTTCTGTTTTTCGTTAAAATAAAAGTCATTTGAAAAAATTAAATTATTAAAAACACGAAGTAAAGGCTGTGATAAGTATCATCCATACCACTTCTGACATCGAAATGCCACTATCATAAAACTACGAACAAGTTGAAAATTCTCCCCATTTCAATGGTTTCAAAGGAACAAGTTTTTTTATTGAAAAAACAATTGAAAATATAGTCTCATTACAGAACCATGGAGGGTATTAAGTTCGACGAGGCAAATGTTGGCACGAAACTAGCGGAGGTAAAAAAAAGTTATTTTTATAAAGTATATATCAATATGTACGGTCTTTTTAATAGACTAAAATGTGATTTAATTTCATCTATATTTAAGGAGTATTTGAAGAAAAATTCAGTATTTAAATCAAAAGGATTCGCCGACAGTGATAGATTCACGTTCAACGATCACAAAAACACAATATACTACACTAATTACACAAGAAATCTCGGGGCTGTGGTGCTGACTAAAGATGTGAGTGAGATTCCATTAAAATTGATGAAACTGGCCAAGAAAATTGAGGAGAATGTCGAACTATTCTGCCAATTGGAATTATTACTGCGAAAGATTCCCGTAGAAGACACAGAACGCATAGATTTGAAACTCATGACACAAAACTTTATGTATCACAGTTCGTTAAAATGCTCGAAAGAAGCGACGAGTACAGGTAAAATATTGTATATATTTTTAATATACATCATGTTCATAACATTTGCATATATTTTTTGGTTGTAAATAAATCAATCAGATAGATTCTATCGCGGACATTCTTACGCTTCCCTCATACTAAGGTTGCTTACACTAAAATATATGAAGCGTCTCCCGTTTCTTATTGAGTAACCCATAGTAACGGTATCATGTAAATATATCATGCAAATATTTATGAATGAATAACTGTTAACGCTCTGTATGTACGACGCCAACTTAGAATACGCATACTGTTCACATTTTAATGTTTTTTAAAACTTACAGATTATTTATGAGATCTAAGATTTTCGCGAGTTATCATTTAAATGAATCTATTATTTTTCGGATGTACTACGCGATTTTTATTACCATCAAAAACTACAAACTACCGACGTTTCGCTTACTTTACAGCAACCGTGATCGCTGGCAGGCGAGATGTCAGATGTAGTTTTTGATATAAATAAAAATAGCGTAGTACATGCGAAAAATATTAGTTTCATTTAAAGATTATTCTTTAAACTTGTATCAAGTCATTTTTGTTATATCAAGCTGTTTTTAACCTTTTAAACTGAGTTCAAAATCATTATAAAACTGTTATAGGTAGTTTAGAGCCAACATCATTAAGAGTAGGTAAATCACATCGTTAAAGTCAACCAAAAAAAATTATGTACTTAATCTAGCAAAGAGAACTTTTGTATATATTACTATGTATAACTTACTACAAAATAAATATTTGATAATTCTTTAAACTTTCATAATATACAATTTAGATTCAAGGAGTAATAATTGGATTATAAGTCTATCAGTTATAACTTCTTGCTTGTATCGTTTTTATTAATAGCTAATACTATATCCCTACTCTGTTCATCTGATATATGTTCTCGTGTTCTTCCTCACGTGTTCACAGCTCGTCAGATAACGTTCGACTCGTCCACGCCGCTGCTGGCTTTGAGTTTCATCAGTCAAGTACTGATGGGCCACATGCCGAAGGTGGTCATTGAATGCACCAAGGAAACAGCACCCGTCGCCACACTCTTCATTGAACTATGTCACCAAGTCGGGTACATAGATATAACCATATTATTTATTTTGATAGCTTCTAATATGCTAATGTAATGTTTGTATCATAATATATGGATTGCTTTTTATTGATAATAGGGTGCATTGGTTTATTTTATTTTTTAGCAACGAATTTCCTCAGTATATGTACTTAGTATTATTTAAGCTGACGTCCATCGTGAGTTTTGTTTTAATAGTTATTTAATATTGTAGATTGGAGGGAAAGGTACTTCTAGCGATTTTACCTGAAGTTATAGACGGCGGGGCCTCCAAAGTGACTATGGATTTTAAGAAAATGAGAGGTATGTTATCGAAATGTAAAAATAATATAGTAATTAGTACAATTTTTACTATGCTAGGGTACTGAGTGAGGGTTGTGGAACGCTATACTGGCGAATCAGGACAATCATCCACAGAGATGATTTCGGCAACCGAATGTCTGGTATAGCTGAGGATTTTTTGATTGTTATTATTATTATTTTTTATTTATTTACAATTAACTGGGGTGGTGTTGATATTAAAAAGTATATCGGACCACCAATTTAAATTTTAGGACCCTAAAACAGAAACCATGTCAAAAAAATAAAATAAAATAGCAGTTCGGTATTGAAACGCTGAGGTTGCTTATTTCAACTAGTGCATGTCATAGTATTAATTGTGTGTTGTACTATTTGTTTCATTTAATTAATGAATACGGTAAAATAATATATGATATTATCTATTAAAAAATTCAATTATTAGTTAATATAGTATAAACTGTACCGTCCAAAATAGTAAAGTCAGTATCATTAAAAATAAAACTAAAAGTTTATGTAAAGGATAGATTTTGGCGGCGTCATAGATTGAAAGTAAGAAAGTCGTTTACCTAGTAAATGACTCAGATAAGTTTAGAAAAATAACTAGGTACAAGAATTATCCTACTAATAATATATTAGTTATATTAATTATTATTGATTTTATAACGATTAACGTTTATTTTATTTGCAGAGTTTCTGAACGGCTGCGTGGGTGTTGTTAGCGGGAAAAGTGACATCGACTCAGCTGTCGAATGCTTCTTAGACGCGTCCAGTAGAGTATGTACTTTACACTTAAAAAAAATATGCAATGCCAGTGTTTGTCATTTAAAAAAAATTTTGCTTTTTTTCAATTTTAATGTTGATTAATTTAAAAAAAAATTCACTCCTGTAAATCATACATAATTTTTGTTATATTTCCATTTTAAAATTCAGTATTTCTATTTAAGTCTGTATGATAAACCCATCAGGTTGTCTGGTGGAAATCGCTACCTTACGATAAGACCGCCTTATTGTGCATCTACTTTTTTTTTGTATATATTTAATTTTTATTGTTAAATTACTATGTTATTGTGGTGTACAATAAAGTATATTATTATTATAAACTGTTAACATTAAAATTATCGGTAGTAATTTGGTTTTTCGAGATCCAAGATTTTAAATCCGAGATCCAAGATTATTGAACAATTTTCACTCAAATAATTTACATAATAATTATTCTATTGAAATATATAGACATATATGAACATCTTTTGACCGATTGACTATTAGGACTAAAAGTCACTTCCTTGTTGATCTTTTTATTAAAAAACGAAATGAAATAAAATGTAAAATATATAATTTTATTACCCTGGTCTATTAACTGTTGTTAAACTATTTGCTTACACGAACACTTCGTAGTCATTGTATTGCTTTTTACTAACCAGTCGAGTATTTATATTTCGTATATCATATTTGTTGTAGTATCCGTGGGCATTGAGAAAGATCTTCGTTCAAGAGAATGCTGTGGAAAGATTCACCACCACCATGACCTGGAAGGAGGAGAAACAGATGGAAGCGACTTCAGCCGGGAACAACAAGAGCGACTCGGACCGAGAAATATCATACTTTTTCGGAGACAAAACGTTTCTGATGAGGCCCGGTCGGGATAGTACTGAACATGATAATAATGTCATCATTCTGGAGGCCTTTAGGACGGTCAAGGAACTGATAGGTCTACTTGCGAAGGAGAAACCATTCGCGCTTTCCATCTGGTGCAGTGATGTTTCAGAGACCAATGAGCTAGCCCACAACGTTGACGCCAGCATCGTGTGGGTCAATGACCTCGCCAACTTCGAAGGACCACCTCGCTCCTCGCAAGCGTTCTTCTCCCTCATAGATATATACTTCAGTTCTCAGCATATCGAACAACTCCCTGAAATCGCTGAATTGACGAAGCTCAAACAATCCTGGTTGGGACTTAGTGTTGACCAAAGAAAAGCTGTAGTACGTGATGCGTTGACCAAAATTGATAGGAACCAGTCTAAGAAAATGTTAGAGGTTCTTGATGATTTGAACAGTGAATTGGATAGTTTTGTACACCTCACTAAGAATGTGATAGCCACTGGCATTGAGCTACAACCACAAGTGATGATGCCGAGCGCCATGTACGACTACGGACTAGAATCTTCTATAATATCTTACATTATAAAAGGCGGTGCACTACTCCTACATATTCCTCCGCGTGACTTGCCAGTGAAAAGCAAAGATATTTCTTACATGTTTTATGATAACTTACGGAACATGGCCGGCCCCGTAATATTTCTAGATAAAGAATATAAAATCGGTGACATTGCCATTATAAGGCATCCGATTAAAAGATTCAAAGTCATTTGGACCAATTTTGGAACCATATTCGCTAATTAAAATACTTTAATAAAAATAATATTTTATAATTATCTTCTGATGAAGTACATATTATTATTCGCATTCCTTTTTCATATTCTTCATTATGCATTTGCTGTATTTATAAATCACTTTGTAATTTATAGTTTTTGTGTCATTGAAGAACACGCAAACTTATTCATTTTAAGTTAACTTTGCTTTTATTTATAATTTTTTTACACGTATATAAGTTTTTAACCAGTGACAACCAGATTATTGATGATAATTATACCAACCATCAAAAATAATTAAAGGTGAATAAAAAAACAGAATTAAGAATGTCGTTTGGTGGTATAGCTTAGCTATTACATTATAATTTTAATATTTTAAATTAATCTTCTAAAAATATAGGCTCTGGTGAAACTAATATCAATTATTTTCAATAAGATTTGTTCTTTGTGGAAGACCCTTTGCAATAACTCATGAATAAAAATAGAATAAAGTTATAAACAAAAAAGATGCATAATATAAAGGTATTGAAAATAAATTTACATTAATACACGACATTCAAAATCAATATCCCGACAAATTAAAAATAATCCATTTAATATTTAGCTTAAGAATTTATAGTGAATAAATTTTATGGAAATATTTTGTTTGATTCGTATGTGGAACGAATACAATATCATTGTTTTTGATTTTGTAATATACTTAATTAACTAAAAAACTGCTGAGTTTCTTCCTTGCTTAGGTACTTTTGGTAAGCATTTTCCTAATTTAGGCAAAAGATATATTTTTATAACAATAGCAACCCTACAGAATACAACGTCAGACAGTGTTTTCATTATATGTGAATTGTCACTTTGAAATACATACAATGAAATGAATGAAATTGAAAAAAAGCTACAATATAAAAGAATTACTAACCAGTGAATCGCGATAATAACATAATGACGGATTATTTCATGAGTATGTTTAAATCTAATAGTCAGATTTCTAAGATATTAATAAATTGAGAGTCGAAACTTATTATAAAATAAAATGTTTCATATTATATATCAACAATGACAGTTAGTGGCTTCAAAATTGCCAATTGTATTCTGTTGTATTATCATTTATCAATAATCCAGATTACACATAATTTCTATACCTAGGTACACAAATAAATTCACAACAATATCCGTATATAACATTCTTAAATAAAACATTATAAGGAATATATACTCAAAAATATAGAACTGTTTAAACTGTAAGTTGTATATTTGTAGATAGAAGATCTATAGAAGAATCAGACAGAAGCTCATTGAAAAAAAGACTAAATAGTGATCTTACGTCAAGTAATTCATGGCGATTTATTTTAATTGCATTGAAAAAAAAACTGTGTTTACTCAGATCAAGGTTAAAAAACAAAACATTATATTACATGGTACCTGTGACCGGCGTTAGTCATTTCTGAAACATGATTGTCGCCGGTATAATACATATAGTACTTTTATTATCTTGCAATGGTCAGTTAGAAGGCATACCACAGTTACGAGAGTTTATAAGACCATTGACAAATAATCCTTTCGTACAATCCATTGCTGGTACGTCGTCTGACTTCTTGGCCGGTAGTGTGGAACTCGTTAGCCACATTCCAATAGCAATCGCCAGGGCTTTGGGACCATTAGACGCCTGGCCTGTTCTCGTTAGTCATAGAAACATAGTCGATTTGACCGATCGGTTTGTCAAAGAATTCGATTTAGGATCGAACAACGAAGATGCCGCGTTAAACATCACAGAGCTCATATCGAAATATGGGTTTCCAGTAGAAACTCACGACGTGGTGACTGAAGACGGGTATGTCCTCCAACTGTTTAGAATACCTGGCAATGGTTCAGTTCTATTTCTCATGCACGGCTTACTGGGAAGTGCTGATGACTTCGTAGTGGCGGGCGTGGAAAGTGGTCTAGCCTATGAGTTATCCAGAGAAGGTTACGACGTCTGGCTGGGGAACGCTCGAGGAAATAAACACTCGCGTCGTCACACACACTTGCGTCCTCAAGATTCAAAGTTTTGGGACTTTACTTGGCATGAAATAGGGGTGTACGACTTGCCAGCCATGATCGACTACGCTCTTGAAGAGAGCGGTTCTTCAACATTAAAATATATAGGTCACTCGCAAGGCACCACGAGCTTCTTCGTTATGGCATCTGAAAGACCGGAGTATAACGAGAAGATTAGTTTGATGGTTGCTCTGTCGCCAGTCGCGTTCATGACCCACGTGAGATCACCGGTCATAAGACTGCTGGCTTCCGAGGGGCCCCTCCTGTACACCGCATCGAACGGTATTGGAATAAACGAATTTCTGCCTGATAATAAACTTGTTAGAACATTGAAGAGTTTTCTATGTAGTGTCGGTGTAATGTCAGAAATATTGTGCAACAATCTTCTATTCTTGATAGTCGGGTTCGACCTCGGGCAGGTGAACGTAACAAACCTCCCTGTATTATTCGGGCATGTTCCATCTGGTTCATCAGCGAAGCAGTTAGCTCATTATGGACAGCTTATAATTTCTGATGACTTCAGGAAATACGATTACGGTTCATACGGAAACTTGAAACGGTATGGAGAGACGTTCCCGCCGAAATACAACCTCAAGGGGATAAGTGTTCCCGTGTCGTTATTCTACAGTGATGCTGATTGGTTAGCACACCCCGCAGACGTGAGAAGACTCTCCCACGAGCTCGGGAATGTGGTAGACGTATATAAAATTCCCTACAAATATTTCAATCACTTAGACTTTCTATTCTCGAAAGACTGCAAAGTACTAATTTATGAAAGACTACGAAAGGTTCTCCAGTCTTTTTAGTTATTTTCTCACCTTTTTTTATTTATTTATAATGTTTAAATCTCTACTTCATTAAGCGTTCAAATGTTCATTGGTTGTTAGACAATGTTACTAAGTGAGTATTCGATCATTATATTTTTTGTTTGCTCTATTGTGTTCGGTGAAGTCTACGAAGAAAAAAAAAATAAAAACACACACGTCACATGATTAACATCATAAGTAGTTAGGTTTAAAACTTCAGTAGTTCCCGTAACTATTTACTATATTCTAATAAATAAGATATATGGATTATTATTTATATATTTTTGTCGCTCTAGGTGCTGGTAAAATATAACAAATTTTTGTTGAAAGAAAAATTAAGTAAACACCTGTATTTTATTCGACAAACTCCTTCGTGTCTTCTCCACACAGAAGTCAAGATTATATTTCGTCCATCAAATAAAAACATTGATATTAGCAAAATATTCCATTGTGAATAAAGCCATGTCATAAAATAATAAGTAGTTAGGTCTACAGTAAAAACCAAAATAACTTTCAGATTTCATATATTTTTAAATGACTGCACTAACTTTTATATTTAACAGCTCGATGATTAAATAAATAAATACAAGTTAAATAGGGTTTCGTAAAAAAAACTTTTCTTCATCTGATTATTCATAAACCCTTTTGATAAAAACTTTATAGTACATAACTCAAAGCATGAATTTAATAAATATAATTCTTAATTTTAAATAAAAATAAATGTGGGAATTAATTTTTAATTGAAGGAGTAATAACGTGATAAACATACAATAGAAAAGATAAGTTTCTCCTCTTGAAGGTTGCTAAAAATGACATTAAGACTTAAGTAATCCTTTACGACTGCGGTATATGCATTCCAGAGATTACCACGAACAAACAGACAGAGGAATAGACACGCAAGTATTAAGAAAGTTATTAAATACACCTACTTTTATATTTAGTGGAAAGATATAAATTACTTTCAGAGCCTTCTATTTTATTTATTTGTGTAAAAAAATTCATTGACATTAAATATATCGCATTTCAATTTATTTCGACATTAAATTTAGCTTAAAGCGGCTTTAATGCGTTTCTGTTAGTTCATCGTAATTATCGTTGGTTGCAAAATATTTGGACTTTGTACGCACGAGCTGCATCGTGAACAGTCTAAATAGTTAATTTTACTTGTTTTTAATATGTTAAATACGTGAGCGGTAATCAAAACGATACATTTACTGTACATTTTATCAAAAAAATAGTATTGTCATTTAATTTAATATTATAATACATATTTTTTTTAATTATTTTTTTAGTTTAGACAGCCCTATAATGTTATTCTTTTATATTCCTAAGGTTAACTCTACTGAATCTCAGCATTAGCCTGTAATTGTGAAATATTTTTTTTAGGTGGATATAAAAAAAGATAAAGTTATTACGATAATTTAGTAGCCTACGATCCCTTATACCAAGAAGTTTCAACAAAAAGGAGGTTGTGTTGAGATTCAGATTTGTGGTTAGCCTAAAGACAATGTATAACACATTAAAGATACATAATACATTGTTATTTAAAATACAGGGTGACTGGTGAATTACTATCAATATTTAAGGACGTGGTAGTTGACGATCATATATGACAAAATAAAAATTAATATAACATAAATATTAATAAACTTCTGAGTAAAGTTAACCTAAAGTTATGTAATTAATTACGCATCGTGTGAACACCCTACAGATTAGGTATACACTGACACTCACACATACGCGTGTCGTGACGTAGTGTTGTATCAGCACGCCGCCGCACGCGTCCACACTTGAACACTTGGAACGTGTACACACTTTATTTATTTATACGAAATTTGGTCAAAAATTAAGTACCTATTTTTTTTACATAATTCGAATGAGAATCATGTACCGAGTATGCTCCTTAAATATTGATAGTAATTCACCAGTCACCCTGTAGATTTGGCACAGAACCGATTTCATAGAAAACAAATACAGGTTAAATGGCTCATTTCAAGACAAAATATCATATTACACTTAAGTATTTTGAAAAAAGTTGTTTACCGATTGAAGGAATAAATTTCATAAAAAGGTATTCCGTGTTATTGATTGCACAGATTATAAATGTCTAAATATTACATTGGTTTCTGGTTGTAATATGAATGAAGTATAAAACGTACTCAATTTTCCTCAAAGCACTTTATTGATCATCTGACAGATTATAGGTATATAGGTAAAATGCACAAATTATCGAAAACATTAAAAGCATCTAAATATTTTTATTCAAGGTTCATACATTAGTGTGTATATAGGAATTCGTAATAGAAATTATAGGTTATATTTCAAAATATATATTTTAATATAAAATGTTACAATATATAACACGTACAAAAATAAACAGTATTTAAAATTTTAATAATTAACAATGTTTAATGTCATATATTCCTATACTAGAAATTAAAAAGTATAAAAGTACACTGTTATTACCCTCGAAGATCAAACAAAATGAAACTTTTTTACTCAGCAAAGTAAATACAACATATAACTATGTATGTAAGAAACCGCTAATTAAACTAAATGTATACACAAAAAGTGTTTTTAATAATCATTATTCAATATTCCGCTGCTATACTTTGGCCGACTGTGGTGTCCTAGAGGTCAAAGGCCCGCTCCTCGTGCATGAGGGCGCGGGTTCGAAACCTGGCAGGTACCAATGCGATTTTTCAGTCATATACTTTCTAAGAGCATTTGGACACCACTGACAGACGGTGAATGGAAATATCGTGAGAAAATCTGGACTAATAATTTGAAATTGTAAATTTGAAATCGCCAACCCATCTTGATGCAAGCGTGATGATTATTGCTCAAATCTTCTCCATGTGAGAAGAGGCCTTCGCTCAGCAGTGGGATCTGATAGGCTGATGATGATGATGATACTTTTGACTTGGCCATGAGGTGATCACTTGAATGACCAGTTGTAAGATAAGTTGGAAAGTCAGTTGGCAAATATAGTTCCATAGTTGGTCCAAATAACTTTATGTTTGTAGCACGGCTTCCACAGTACATTCACTTCCCGTCCATCACTTTGCACCTCCTTTACATAAACCACAGGGAGTTCAATCGTTTCATTTACGTTTTTAAAGAATTCATCGATGTCTTCATCATCAATCATGTGTATGACCAGCAGGGCGCCGCCCTTCATCACGAAGTTGATCACCGACATATCGATTAGTTTATTAGAAAAGTTCACCAGCCAGACCCCCCCAGGAAAAATGGTCCCCATTATGACATTGTTGTCAGTGACGCGTACATAGTTGTCTTGGAAATCTTTCTCGAGTATTGTGGACGCGAAAATATGTTTGTGTGCCTCTTCCATCAACACAGCCTCCCTCTGTTCTGGGCTGCGACTCAGCCAGGTCTCCTTGAGCTTTTCGAGTCGGTCCATCTCCGGTAGGTGCGGTACCTTCACGGAGCTGTAGAACAAATCTATGACCGAATAGAACGCCTGCGAGGATCGCGGAGGTCCTTGGAAGTTGGCGTGATCGTTGACCCATACTATGTTGGAGTCCACGTGGTGTGCGATCTCGTTTGTCTCAGCTAAATCACTGCACCAGAGCGAGATAGCGAATGGCCTCTCGTTTCGAAGTAGAGTTAGCAGTTCCTTGACAGTTCTATAGGCTTCTAGTACGACAAGCTGGTGTGAGTCGTGACGCACGCTGCCCGGCTCCAGCACGAACAGCTTTTCCTCCCGACTGAAAGAGACTTCACAGGTCGTGACGTCACTCCCACTACCTCGAGTCTTCCATTTCATTGCTGACGTAAATCTCTTCAACGCAGATTCTTGAATGAAAACCTTCTTTATTCTCCATGGATACTGTAATATTGTTTAATACCACCCATTAGTCAGTCAGTCCATTGATTGCTTTTAAAACTATCGAATATCCTGTAATACACACCCAAGTTGAAGATGATAAAAATGTATCAACAGCTGAATCGACATCACTTCTGTTGCTGACTACTCCGATACAACCGCTACTAAGTTCTGTTACATTTAATAAATATGTGAGAGAGTTCAACTTGAGGAAAACACAAGCATGAAATATAAAAAAAATGTACCTGACACTTTCAGCAAATCATATTTAGAGCAGTTGGTGCTGTCTGACACTATAAGCAGCTTCACATGCAAAAGACTGTAAATGAAGTAATAGATATTATTACTTTTTCTTATATAGACAATTTATAACTTTTTTTTTTAAACAATAAAGAATATAAATGTACAATGTTTTACTAAAGCAAACTTTTTTTATAAATACCAAGTATAAATGTTGCTAATACTTTTTTATAACAATCAATAAATTAAGTTACTCAATACATTTTGTATGTGTATGAAAAAAAAATAACTCACTCAGCTTCATGGCACAGGTCTACAAACAGTGAGCCAATGACCGCGGTTTGTTTGTCACATATTATTGTTATCATCTTAGACTTATTTAGAATATCACACAAAAGTGACTGGCTGACAAAACCGAGGACAGCCAATGGTGTATCCGACAGAAATGCTAATTTATCACCTGAAATACTTAACATTTGAAACTCTTATCATTGACACATACAAACATAATTATGTATATATACATTGTTTTATACTTACAGTAGTTATCATCCTTATAAATTTCAAATTTTTTTTTTATTTCCTGATTACAATAAAAGAGGTTGTTAAAAATTAATTTCAGATCATATCTTTCCACATCCTTCACAGGGACCCCACGGATCAAGTATTCCAATTGGCAAAATAAATTTGCATTTGTTTTAATCAACTTGTACAAGGCATATAATTTACTTGATATATTTGTTACATTTTCAACCCTATCTGGTTCTGTATCAATGTCAGAAAAGAATATTTTATTATTGAATGCATTCATTTCATATGAACCATTTTCTTTATATCCTCTTGGATGTATTTCTGATTTAGTTTTCAAGTATTCCTGTAAATTGAAATTTATAATAATTAATTTAGTGTTCCTTTTAATTTAAAAGTTTTGACACTATTCATATATGTATATCAACAAAAAAATATGTTTCCTATCACATGAGAATGATTCAATTTATTTATTCACATTGAATTTAGTCTAAATAAAAAATATATTTTCTGTTTTTGTCTTTTGGCATTAGAATTCTCAGAATCATGTCTTTGTTATTTAATTTCAATATGAATCTTTAATATTTGTTTTTTATATAAAATTACTTATTTCATATAAAATATTTCACCCTTTGGGGCTTTGAACATACATGTAACAAAATCACAGCCTTACCTCAGCTAGTTGGGTGTTTACTGGTGCTTTATCAAAATGTATAGAATCAGGGGACGCCATTGTCTAAAAGGATATCACTTAATTAGCAAAAAAGTGTAGCGATACTCAATATATAACAATAAATAAAAAATGTTTCATATATTTTCACTTTTGTATTAAAAATACCGTATATCGCGTTTCATATTTTATCAATATATATCGCTCTTAACAAATATACCTATGACCTTTGACAGATTAGGTCTTTAACAATTAAAAAGATGTGATTAATATCAAAATTCTTACAACAACAATCTATTATAGTCCGTTATTAGTTTTAAAAAACAATAGGAATACTCTTAAGTAAAGTCAATACATACAAATAGTGTCACGTAATTAACAAGCGTCGAACTTAAAATATTTAAAAACTTTACAACAATGACAACTAGTAATTAATATTATGTACCTATAGATAAGTTTTAAATTATTAACAGTTTAGTACTTAGTACTGTGACGATGTCAAATGACATTTGTCAAAAGTTTTTTATGTTTATAAAGTATTTTGACAGCAATCGGTATTTCCGATATACGGGATCTGTATCACTAAAGGCTTTTGGAATGCGGAGAGTAAATAATGAGTCTTTATTAATTCTTAAACTTATTTAACTTTACCATACGAAGACTATTTCAAAAATATACATGATAAATAAATTCATTGGAAATACCCACAGAACACGTATTTTCGAAGGTATTAACAGAAGAAATATTAAACAAACAAACAAATTCATTGAAGATTCACACAAAATACGTATTTTTAGCAGAAGAGATACAGAATTTCTTTCGTTTTTTAGAATGTTACAATTGCTTGTTTATGGTAATGGGGGCAACCGAGCAGACGGCCTACCTGATGGAGGTAGTACCGTGGCCCATAGACATACGCGACATAAGATATGTTGCGGATGTGTCACCACCCTTGATGTGGGAAGAGGGGCAGGAAAAAGGAAAGGGGTAGGAAAGGATGGGAAAAGGGAAAGGGCAACCGGCTCTCTCACTCATCGAACGAAACGCAGCCACTAAGGCTACTTCACGCCGATCTTCTGTGAGATGGTGGTAACTTCCCCGGTCGAGACAGCCCATGTTCGAGATGCAGTAACTTGACCATAACTTTATTATTTTATAGGTGGTAGAGCCTAGCTATGGCCAAGTGATTGCAGCTCGAACATGGGCTGGCTCGACCGGGGAAGTACCACCCTCTCACAGAAGATCGGCGTGAAGTAGCCTTAGTTGCTGTGTTTCGTTCGATGAGTGAGAGAGCCGGTTGACCTTTCCCTTTTCCCATCCTTTCCTTTTTCCTCCCCCTCTTCCCACATCAAGGGTGATGACATACCCGCATCATATCTTATGCCGCGGATGTCTATGGGCGACGGTACTACCTCCATCAGGTAGGCCGTCTGCTCGGTTGCCCCGTTTAACATTAAAAAAAGCTAGGCTCTACCACCTACCTGTAGTATCCTATTCATACTCTATCTTAGGACTATGAGATTAATGCTTAAAGCTAGTTTTCATGGACTGTTAATCTTGAGACAGCTTATAAAATGTTTTCCCAGTAGGTTAAACACTACAGCGACACTGAAGTTTCGGGAAGCATTGTATAATACAATGTACTTAAACTCTTTTTTACAAAAAGTATTTGAAAAATCAAGACGGAATTTGGACCCTAATTGTTTAATCTCATGTCAAAATTACTATGGATCCTGAAGATATATCTATAAGTTGTTATTATTAACAAAAACCATTTGATAATCTGGCATTGATTTAAAAAAAAATCAGTAAGTATTAACTGTATAAACTGCAGACTGCGTGTGTTTTTGTGAATCGTTTAAAATAAGGAACATTAATAATAATTTAAAAATCAAGGTGGTAAATATATAACAGAATTTTTATTGTGTAACGTTAATAATAACTATTTTTTTAAACTGAGGAATGCATTCCTGCCATGCTGGTAGTTATCAGTTAAAAATAGTAACATTAAATGTCATCAAACGTTCCAATTTTCGAAGACCAAACAAACGAATGAACCAATGTGACGTTTGTCACTAGTTCGTTTTATATATTGAAATTCGTGCAACGGCGCCACGATATATTTAATGCAATATGTTTCGAAATTAGTGGTGAAAATAAAGTTAAAATGGCGAACATAGCGCGGAGTAAGGGTCAAGTGTATAGTGTTGGAAATTACTTGATGACCGGTAAAGTCTTAGGGAAGGGACATTTCGCGAGGGTAGAAGAAGCTACTCACCGTATAATCGGAAAAAAGGTTCGATAATTTAGAATATAATTAGTAATGTATCCTGTATGTAGCAATTATCAGATTAAATAGCAAGTAACATGAGTGAAACATCATAATTTATTGAATAAAAACTTAAAGCTACAACCTCTATTTATCCCGTTCCTACTTTACGTTTCTGAAATCAGCTTCCGTTGTCAATGCCAATATTTCAGGTGGCCATAAAAATTATAGACCTTACGTGCATCAAAGAAGATTATGCCCGCCGTAATTTACATCGAGAGCCTAAAGTCATGGCCAAGCTCCGGCATCCTTGTATCGCCGCTTTATATGAGACCATGATGGTAGACAACACATTTTTTTTATTCAGCCTATAATAGTAAATGATTTTTGTGATTTTTTTTTGGGTCTAAAGTGTATGTATATTTGATATTGTTCTGTATATAAGCATGGTCCGCGTCTGTACGTGGTGATGGAGGCTGCAGGCGGGGGCGACCTGTGCGCGCACGTGCTGGCAGCCCGCGGCGCCGCGCGAGGCCTGCCCGAGCAGAGGGCGCGGGCCCTGGCCGCTCAACTAGTATCTGCTGTCCGGCACATGCATGCACGCGGTGTAGTGCATCGGTAACTTAGATGCACTCATAAGAACAACACTACATTCACTTAGGGTTGCCATTTACCTTTCAACAAATGTTGCCATACAAATTCTTGTGTATCTCGAAATTAATTTAGTATATGTAAATTTAATTTCCTTTAAATATGATTACCTATTGAACATAATTGAGTACAGATTTGTTCTAATGTCATCGAGATATTGAAAAAATGCTTAAAATTTCAGCGACTTAAAGATGGAAAATATAATGTTGGACAGCACGAAACAGTTTATTAAGATCGTTGGTGAGTTTTCTATTGTAAGGTGTCTTTTGAAATAAATGTTTAGGTATAGTTCATTAGGATAGTGACAGTGTGTTGATGGAAATAGTAATAATATAACTCGTATGGTTGTGTGTTGCTTACAAAAGTGAGTTTAGGCTGAACATTGTGTAATTTGAAGTGTATATAGATTTCGGTTTGTCCAACGTGTGGTGCGCGGGCGGGGCGCTGCGCACGCCGTGCGGCTCGCTGGAGTACGCCGCGCCTGAACTGTTTGTAGACGGACGGAAGTACGGGCCGGAGGTCGACCTGTGGAGTATGTGAGTGACAGTGACATTTGATGCGCCATTTTTTTTATGACCATCGTCTGTTCCAAATGTTCACATTTTTCAGCCCATCGACTTATACTAATGGACATGCCTTAGAGATGAGAACTGTGGCACTCCGAAAGAAAGAGAGGAAACGAAGTTTCGGTCTATCTTTGTCCCTCTCAAAATAGTATCGTACTGACTGAGCGCCAAGCATCTATGAGGAAAGAGATAGTGCTAGACCGAAAGCATAGGCCATCTCTTTCATTCTTTTCAAACCAAAAAATTACTGCAGATTATACGCGTACGGCATGTCCATTAGTATAAGTCTATGATTCAGCCAATCTCACGTAGAATAGACTGTATTTTTGTTTTTCTTTAAACTTACGATAAACTTTCCTAGTTTTATTTACGTATTAAAGTTAATTGAAACGAAATTAAGAATATATGTTAATGTTATTTATTATTTTTCAAGAGGCGTGATTGTATTCGGTATGGTGACGGGTGGCTTGCCGTTTGCGGGTAGTGGCAGTGGTGGGGGGGCGGCCGCGGCCGGCGCGGGGGAGGGGAGCTCCCGGCCTCAGTTGCGCGCCGCCATCGCGCGCGGGTACACGCGCAAACAGAGGGCAGCGCTTGTATGTGTGTCAGCAGGTGAAATAATTAGTAACGTATTATATCATAGACTATAAACAGGTTGCAATTAATACAAGTATAATAAAACCAACGATATGAAAGTATTTTATTCAACGACTTTTTTCGAGTAATGATTATATATTGGAAAAATATGTATCTGTACTTCAATTACACTTGGATTCACACACATTTTATATGCACACAATTCACAATTTGCTAGAGTTCATTTCATGGTACTGCACTTTCCGGAGATTGATGTTACTATGATGGACGCCTGAAAATAGAAAAGACTATGTTATAGAGAGGCCAATGAAATAAGATAATTTCTGTAAATACATTTGAACCAAATTACCACATATTGATAAAAAAAAAACGTAGGCTGTTAACAAGAATGCGTAACACTTTGTCAATATGTTATTTACATAATATCACTCTTTCTTAATAATACATATAATGCTCCTTAGAATATAATGCCATCGCTCAACGGTACTTAGATTGCTTAAATAAAAGTATTATTGAGCTGGAAAAGAATAAAGTAGAAATATTGTGTTAACAGAATGCAAGACCTTCATCCAGCAGTTGTTGGAGCCGAAGGTGGAGTTGAGAATGAAGATCGAGGAGGCGGCGAGACATCGATGGATCAGGAGACCTGGCATGAGGATGAAGACACACCCGCTGCCGGGAGTCGAACCCAGGGCTAACAGGGAGGTCGGTAGGGGTTTATATGTGACGCGGGAGAGTTTATGTAACTAATTATATGAGAATATTTTTATAGTAATATTCTTGTATCAGATTTACAGACAAATCTCCGAGCTGTGTGGAGAGACGATGCTAGATGTCATCGCTCACATTAAGGCGGACCCGTTCGGCGCGATCGCCGGCATTTACAACATCAAGTCGCACCTACAACAGATGACGTCCAACACTGGAGGCGACCTTCTATGGTCTTCAAGCACCGAGGAGCCCCGACCCTCGAGCCCGCCGGAGTACCGCGTCAAATACGACGAGTACGCGCCATCTAGCAGTCGGATGTCGGTGTCACAAATACCGAGCTTCAACTTCCCCACACATATACGACAGTTTGAACAAAAAACGGAAGGAAAACCGCTCATCCCTAAGATGCCACGAGCCGCGAAAACGCAAAAGCCTATCGCGGCTCAGAAGTGCCAAAAGATGGATCAAAAGGTTCAGAACGAGAGCCCGTCGGTCGCGAAGACTTGTTATACGATGAAGAAGCCGGTGTTCAAGGTTTATGACAATGGAGACGGTTTTGATCCGCGGCTGCCTAGTATAGACGAGCATTCCAACATCGACGTGACGGACGGCAAGAACCTCCACAAAGGGAGGCAGTGTGTGAGGAAGGTGAGCCTCGAGGAGCCCGCGAGGATCAGCTCCTGCCCGGACAGAGCGGACACCAAGAGAAGCGACTTCTATAAGAAGGCTGGCGACGGACTGCAGAGGTTGGTGATCGATTTCGGATTACTACGTACCGCGTTACTTTATTATTTTTAACACTACACATTCCCGACTTTTCGGTGGCTGCAAAGTAAATAAATGACCGCGAAAATCTTAGATCTCATTGAATTTGATAAGAATTAAATCCTCCGACCCAAGAAATGGTTAGAATTAGCCTTTACACAGTAACTGGTATTAAGGTTTTTTCAAACTTTAAGGAATGAACTTTGACACTTTGAAACCACGAGATAAGTTAATGCGTGTGCCCTGGTCACGAGACTATAACATTTTTATCTTTTCAACAGTTGGCGCGTTGGTCCTTCAACCCCCTCGGCTAGAATGTTGCTTCAAAGTAACGCCACCACTATCAAGAGAGCTTCTTTAGGGTAAGTTAAATGATTAATATTTCTAAAGGTACACTCGCCAAAAATAATCATCATCATCATCCTATCAGAGCCCACTGTTGAGCAAAGACCAATTCTCACATGGAGAAGGTGTAAACATTAATCACCACCTTTGCTCAAGACGGATTGGTGATTTCAAACTTATAATTGTGAAAGTATAAGCCCAGGTTTCCTCACAATGTTTTCTTTCACAATCTGTCAGTGGTGTCTAAATACTCTGAGAAAGTACATACGACTCGGACCACGTCCACGACCAGTGACCACGACGTTTAAAACCACCTCCACTTCAAAACGAAACAAAAATAATACGACCACTGTATTTTCAGAAACATTGTAAGCCCACACTCATCATCGAACAGTCACTGCAAAAGCGAAAGGGCAATGCCAGTATGTATATACATTATAAATGACTCTTGGAAATGTTAGTTTTAATACTTATATAATATTTCCAAAAATATCTTCCGTTCTAGGTGGGGTGGTATTCAACACGCAACAAAGAGACGAGCTTACAACGGCTAAGAAGAACTGTGCCTATGAAATGAACTCACCGATGACGTATTTTAGAAAAACTTATTTTTTAAGATTTTACTTAAATTCTTTGAGTATTGTCCATTTGTAATTTTAAGCAAATAAAAATTTTATTCTTTTTGTTAGAGGAACTGACTTCTGTTTTCTATAAACCGAACGATTTCGATGGTTTTACAATATATCGTCATTCTGTCACGCCTTGTGTAACTATAAAACTGGCTTCCATAATATTTCGTGTGTAAATGAAAACTATGCCCACGCGTGACACTCATTAGCTAAGAGAGAACTTAAAAATTTTAACGGAATTTCCCTGTTTTATTAAAAGCCACCTTAACACAGCTGTCTATCTGCAATAAGTGTGTTGGGGCGGTCGTGGGCGTCATACTCACTATTTTTTATCTATTTTTTTGTTAAAGATGGCAAACGAGCACACGGTCTACTTGATGGAAGGTGGTTACCGTCACCCATGGACATCCCATGTATTTTTTTAGGGATAGGGAAGGGTGGGAATAAGGAAATACAAGGAAAGGTTGGGAAAAGGGAAAGGGCAACCGGCTCTCTCACTCATCGGACGAAACGCAGTCATTACTGACTACTTCACGCCGATCTTCTGTGAGAGAGTGGTACTTCCCCGGTCGAGCCAGCCCATGTTCTGTAGTAACTTAACCACAGCTAGGATCTACCACATAAAAACTCACCATCAATGATAGGGCATGTGTGCCGGGTTGGCCATGGGCGCCAGTCTTGTATATGTGGTGTGCGCACGCGCCGGTGCGGTCGCTTCTCCCCCGGTCGCTTCACTTTTGAACACGCCGACTCCTTTCCACTGGTTCATGTATTGCACTGAAATGTTTGCAACATTACTTTGCTAGTCATCATATAAAACTACTATTAATCTTGGTACTTCTGAATAATCAAGATTTTTAAAATTATAAAAAATAAAAATTAATATTTAATAACGTAGCATTGTAACAATTAGTTCATACATTTACATAGTGTTTTGTTTCAGCCTGGTTAAATTCACCAATTTTTGTTCGCTTAAAGGCAACGATTTCAAAAACAGGTTTGAAGAAAATTGCTTAGAATTATAAAAGTTTATATAGTTTATAGGATTAATATGGAGAAAGGAAGGAACCAGGAATAGGTTCATCGTGGATTTGTACGCGGTAAAAGTGGAAGCGAAAGGTATAACGGCTAAACCTAAACAGCTTTCTACAACCTACTAAAAGACTTGGGCTTTTCAGAACTGACATCAATTCATTCTTGGAACGTACATCGAATGCAGCTCTAGTAGGTTCTTTTCAAATTAGGTAGAGAGAGGAGCTTGGATAGTTGAGGTGAGCGTTTAACGTGTTAGATATGGCCCTTAAACCTACACCTGGGTCGCAAGTCCCAGGCACTGTTGAAGCTCCTCTCCCTGCAACGATGGACCCGACACCCGCACGGTGAATACATGGAATGCTGAGAGATTTTGTTTCTATAGTATAGTGTATACTAACTCTTCCATAGCCTGATACAGCAGTCGTCCCCTGAAGACGCCAGCATGGTCCCGGTAACGTTCCAGGCGACGCGCCACACACACGACGAATGTTCTTCGAAAGCGGCCAACACTTCCGACTTGAAGCGAACGCTGCCGTTAGTTGTACCGGAAGACTCACTGGAACAGCGGAAATAAAAATATGACGTCATAGTCTTATTGGATTCTGATTGAACCAACTTATTGGTTACTTGCAAGTCTAAGTATCAATTTGGGTAGACCCTTTCGATTAATTATTCACAAAGAACAGATTTATGTAGCAACTAGGTGGAGTTCGGTTATATCGCTTTTCCAAGAGAACCTTTCAAAAGTGTGGGATATAAACTATCCTATGTTCTTTCTCAAAGTCAACTTTATCTCTGTACCAAATTTAAAATCATTTTAATGGTTTAGGCGTGAAAGCGTAACAGAAAGACAGTTACTTTCACATTTATAATATTAGTAGGGATGAAGTGACAAAAATATATGAAAACCATGCTGTTCCAAGTGAGAATTAAAATGTTGTTGCGAAAACTTGGGGAGGGTTATGTATGTGAGGCTAGACATTAAATTAACAAACATGTGTATGTAATGTTGCTCGTTCTTGGTTGAATATTCAAGGTCAATGAACTTACGGCAATGGTTCTATTTTGATGATCCTCACGTCTTTGGTAGCTACAGCGAGTAGGTGGAAGGAGCGGCCGAGGTTCGGCGCAAAGGCGAGGTCATTGACCGGTTCCACTACAGATGACAAACACTCCGTCCTGGTCCAACGCCTCGAGGATTCACTGTACCTTGAATACACATTGAAATGGTATTAAATTTTCATACCCTCTTTAATTAATTACTTTTACGAGTATTAATAGGAAGAGACGATGTAACGATAATTGAGAAATCTTGACAGTAATATAGAGAGAAAACACTATCGGTTGACAAAAGAAAATGGTTTACATATAAGTAACTTTTTATATTTATACTTGCAATCTTGTAGGAGAATGAAGGAGAATCTTATTATTTACTAAGCAATAATATATGTATAAAATAAAAATATTTAGCTGTACATACTCATATATGAAGACTCGTTCTGAACTGGCTTTATCAGCAACACTGGGTTCATCGCTACCCACGGCCAACATTGGTGGGTTACTGCTACTTCTGTTTAATTATTAATATATTCAAATAAATATATAATTATATGTATGTCTAGCTGGTCACAAATAGCTCAAGATAGAACATATGGCATTTTTACACCCCGTCACCTTCACTTGATGGAAGTTCATACAAAAATTTTTTTTTCCTCTAAACTACAACTGTATGAAATATAAGGCTTATTATAATTATAACTTTATGTCTACACCATTATCATCATACAAGAGTGCTTACATTGAAATGCTGATCATTGGAATTCTATATTTCTGATAATATTAATGTTTCAGTACACAAACCTCATAGCTAAGTCTGACTTATGAGTCCAGATTATAAAAGATATTATGATAAACTATATAAATAATTTGTATTACTTTTTACCTTGATAATGATGGGTTCCATGACAGACAACTGATAGATACTTTAGTTGGTATTTCATGCTGCAGGGTCCATTGTGCTAAATTCATTACATCAGGAGCTTCATATATCCTAAAATGAAATTACGTCACTTGTGTATTTAAATGTTTTAGACTACACAAAACATATATAAAATTCTCGTGTCACGGTGTTAGACAGAGAACTCCTCCGAAAAGGCTGGACCAATTTTGATGAAATTTTGTGAGCTTATTGAGTAGGTCTGAGAATCGGCCAACATCTATTTTACATATCCCTAAGTCACCCTTAATTAATTTTTTTTTTATAATCTAGCATTAAAAATACATACAACCTGAAAATTTTACTATTTTATCACCAACTCCTATTTTTTATATAACAAAAATTTGCTGAGTCAGCAAGTTATTGATAACACAGCACAACAAAATCAAACTTTTTTTTTGTTGCATGAAGTTTTTCTACTGTTGTTTACTAATTTGGGTGCGCTAATTTTAAATCTGACCTCAGATTTTTTGTAGCAGCTCTAGTTAGTCAGATACAGGTCCGTCTTGAATTTACATAAGTTGTCAATAGTTTCTACCAATAGCGGTGTAACTTAACTAGTCCCTTTATAAATTTCATTATGTCTTCCTCAAGAAGGAGGTGTTTAAATAATCCTGAGTGTTTTTGTGCTATTTGCGGATAATATATGTTTCAAAAATGTCGTTTAAGTGTGTCAGACTTTGTAAAAAGGGCATACTTCGACTACTTTGGGTTTCCGTTGCCATCAAACGCTATACCAATTTTGGTGTGTAAAAGTTGTATTTTTTTTTTTTTTTTTTTTTTTTTTTATGTTAAAGGTGGCAAACGAGCAGACGGCCCACTTGATGGAAGGTGGTTACCGTCGCCCATGGACATCCACAACAAAATGTTGCGGATGCGTTGCCAACCTTGTTTTATAGGGATAGGGAGGGGTGGGAATAAGGATATTGTAGGAAAGGGTGGGAATAGGGAAAGGGCAACCGGCTCTCTCACTCATCGGACGAAACGCAGCCATTAAAGGTTACTTCACGCCGATCTTCTGTGAAAGGGTGGTACTTTCCCGGTCGAGCCAGCCCGTGTTCGAGCTGTAGTAACTAACCACAGCTAGGCTCTACCACCTAAGATTGTATTGAATCTTTGCAATTATAGGCAAACAAAAAAAGACCAAATTTTAAGTACAAATCTCCCATGATATGGCGTGAACCACCCAAACATCATAACGACTTTTATTTTTGTGTAACGAAAATCATAGGAATAAACCATAAAAATTGCTCTAAGTGGATATATTCAAACTAAAAATTCTGTCGTAAGACCAGTCTTGAGTTTTAGTGACACATCAACACCACAGCAGCCTTGTAGATCTTCGGAAATCCAGACCAGTGCAGCGGACAAACCGAAACGACGACAGAGGTAGAGACAATAGTCTCCAATCACTAAATAAAGAGGATCTAAGTGACTTGATCAGGGATCTTGGCCTGTCTAAAAGTTGATAGATGATAAAAATTTCATCAACCATATGACAGCTATTGAGAAATGTGCATGGGAAGAGTTTGTTTGAGTAGTGAGAATTTTTTTGAGAATACTAAGCCTAACGGCTACATTCAGCACGTTGAACAGTTGCTGATACACTTCCAGCGGCTTGGATGCAACATGAGTATTAAGCTTCACTATCTTCACAACCATCTAGACTATTTTCCTGAAAATCTAAGTGACCTAAGCGAGGAACAAGGAGAGCGCTTTCAAAAGGATATTTGCTCTATGGAGAACAGGTATCAGGGGTACTGGAAGGAATATATGATGGCTGGTTATTGTTGGAGCATTCAAAATAGTACTCATGATACATCTCACTCTAGAAAATCCACAAAAAGGAAATTTTATTCAGAATCAATATATTTAATAATTTTTGTAACTTAAATTTTGTGCATTTTTAATGAAAAACCCTGTCTCTTCATAACTCCAAAACTAGAGCTGCTACATAAAAACGGCATATATTTTTGAAATAAGCGTGGAAAAACTATTCAGATTCATGTAAAAAATCTCATGCAACAGACATGCTGTTTTCCAGTGTAAAATAAATGCAAATACCTTATAATACCATCAGCCGAACATGTGACTAACAGTAATCCTAGATGTTTGGGCCCAAACTTTACATCTGTGACTGAAGTCCTGGAATCCACTAAATTTGATCTCTTCACCCAAGTCCTAAGACCTTTCTCTGTACCCGAAGCTGCTGTGTCACCTACACATTGTATTTGTATAAGATATTATCATATTTTACTTATGACGGGTTTATAAACCATTATTGTAACGTAATTACATGTTGTCACCAAAAAATTATTATAGTTAATGAAAATAAACATTGCAGCAAAATAAGAAATATCTGAAGTACCTATATAGTTTTAAAAACAATAATACAGAGTAATCTGAAAATATTGGTTTCATTTAAATGAATAAGTCAACCAACTACTATAACATTCAAAACTTAATTCAATTTTAAATCAATTTAAGGTAAATTTTATTATCAAAGAATGTTAAATCTCACCAACTTCTTCCCATATAGCCGCTGTTCTATCAAAGGAACATGTAGCTAATACTTGTCCAAACTCGGGATGTGCCCAGGTGACTTTCCACACAGAGCCGTGATGTGCTTTCCAGCTTGCAGTCAGTTTCCAACCACCTTGCCCATCAGAATCCCAAACCTGTAAATGTATTTTTTCAACACTGTCATAGTATCAATCTTCTAGTAAAAATTGTAATAAATAAATCATTCCGAAAGCACTTTCAGTTGCTAATTATATTTTAATATAGAACTATGTAGTAAGGAAATAAAAAGGTTGATTAAATTCCGTCAACCAAATAGTGCGCGGGAAAAGTTTGAGAATCAAGTAATAGCACAAAAATTACTTATATTACGTGCTATGTTTCGTTACTTTTAGTCCATTAAAAATACTTTAAATTATTCCAAGTTCCATCATCAATCCACAATCTAGTAAGAGTTTAATAATTTAAATAAACCGTCAGAATTATACCGTCCCAGCGTAGACACCTAGCCGATCGATCTAAAATATTTAATTTTCTGTATGTTAATTCATGTGTCGAACATATCATTTTATATAAAGGTTAACCTTCTCAAAAATATGTCCGGCATAATATTAATTTCCCAGTTAATCCATCAACTATTTAATATATCATAACAACAACATAACCTACCTTTACGTACTGGTCGCTGGAGCACGTCGCCATTCTCTCCCCATAGAAGTCATAAGCCACATCATGAATTAAGTCTTTGTGATCGGCAACTATTGCTTGTGATTCAAATAAATTACAACTTCCTAATTCACTCATATTTATTGTATTAGATAAAAGAACAACGTTATTGCAAACTTTCTGTTTGACAACTTAAAAGAAACAAGACATTGACGTTTGCTTGTGACAATGAAAAGTAAAATAACGTTCAAAATATTATCAATATACATAATAGCCATTTCTCACCAATGAAATAACTAAATAAAAAAGTTATTTGGATTAAAATTATTATCATTTACACTATTAGCTTTAGAAAATTTTAACATTATCGAAAACATTACAAAATATGTACAAAGATTGTCAACTAATGTCTACAATATCCTTAAAATCTCTCTCTTATCATAATAATGACTCGGATAATTTTTAATATCATTTAACTGCAAGTAATATTTATGAATGTGATAACTTTAGCTGTTGTTTCTCTTAGGACTTACAAAAATTGAAACTTCCTCTTTTTTTACAGCTCAGCTAAACGGAGGATGTGTTTAGAAAGAAGTCTTATTAGTATCACATAACAAATAAAAGTATGTTTAAGGTAGCATAAATATTTATTGACATAGCATGCATATTAACAAAATAACAATTAATTGCACATGCAAGTAACATCACGAAATTAAAAATATACACCATATTATTGTCTCAAAATAAACTTCAAAAACATGCTTATTTGAACTTTTAACATGGCACAAATTCATAATACTAACAGTTAATTTTTAATGATTTATATTTTAAGTAATTCATAGATGACAAATATAACAGCAATTTAAAGTTAACAATAGGCAATATTATTTTAAATATCAATAACATTATTGGGGCATTTTATAATGAGATTCAGTAATGATAGGAATTATTTAAAAATTTTGTTGTATCTTCATTTGATCTATTTGAAGAGCTAACTTTCTGTTTGCTTCAACCAAAGCATTTTGGTTTTGGACCAAGTTCTGCACCTGTTGGGTCATTGTGGCTAATTGTTTTTCTAGATATAATTTCTGTTTTGTCAGAGCCATCATGATGTGAAGGAAGTAATTTCTATTCTCGTCTGCCACATCCGACAGAGACAATTTAATAAAATCTTTAAGTTCCTCTATAGAATTGCTATCAATTTGTGCATTTGCTGCATTACTTTGGCATTGTTTTATGTTGGCAAGGTTATTTATGGATCCTCTTACATCTTCCATACCGTTGGGGATGTATAATGGCGATGGAAACCCTAAATCTGCAGCTCTGCTGGTCAAGGGTGTTGATATTTTACTGATATTCTTTTCAGCATCTAATTGACGATATCTAAGTTCATGTTTGTCGCTTTTTCTCTCGATATCCATAGACTTGTTTGGGTCATCATCAAAATCTACGTTAGATTTGTCAAGTCCTAGCATCACTAGAAATGAATCAGCCTTATTATCACCACTGCACGGTGACATGTCTAGATTGTTTTTTGGTGGAGTGTCATTAACAAAGAACAAATCAGATGTCCTTGTTCTTACTTGTGATTGTGACTTTAGTGGCGATGTGTTTTCCACTTCTTCTCTCAAACTAACATCATTGGAAAATGATTTCTTTCTTATAGGCTGGAAGGCTACTTTTGTGACCTCTTCTTCATGCCCTTTGAGAACTTTGAACGGACTTGTCAAATCTCTTAAGTCATATGCTAGTATGTTTCCACTTTTTGTGCCGAGTGCTACCTGATTTTCAATATTTATAGCTAAAGATGTCAATGTATGTGACGTTCTAACTGTTGAAACAACATTTTGTAATCTTATGTCATACACATGTAAAATTTTGTCATAACCAGATGAAAGCAGGACATCTTTATTAATGAGCGAGAATGCAAAGTCGCTGACAGGCGAGGCGTGAATATTTTCAAAGAAAGCTCTGTCTTTATTAGTTGTAATGTCTCTGAGAATAACATGGCCCTCGTCTGTGGCCAAGCCAAGTAGTGATCTGGAATCGTGATGAAACTTCATGGCTGATATACTTTTGGAGCAGTTTAATTTGACAGTTAGAACTGGAATGTTGGAGACTAGGCCATAAATAACTGTTTCTCCATTTACCATGGTTGCAGCTAGACTTGTGTTTTTGGCATTATAGCTTATAAGATGCACACATGATGGATGTGTGGGGGCCGGGAATGTTTTTGTAATAGTTTTGTTTTTGGTGTCCCAAATCTTTACATTTCCACTGGTAGTGCCAACGGCTATATTTCTGTGTCCATCTCTGTGGAAGCTCCCAGACCAGGTGCCTTTTAATGGAACATGCTGTAGGCTTCTCACATCATGGTCCACCGCACTTAGAACTTCAATCAGCCCTGCAGCATTGACCTGGAAAAAAATATAGCAAAAAATTAATTAATAAATTAGATGACAACTTTTTATAATATTAAACATCGGCCAGATTTGTCATATTTAAATATGTATAAGAAAATCACAAGTATGCTCAGCTATTCTGATTTTTTACGTTCTGATTTGTAAAGAGAACAAGTTTACCTGTAAGATATATTTACTATCGTCACTCCACGACACGTCTCTCAGAACTCCATCGTAACAGCCGTAAGATTTTTTCAACTCCCAATTATTAGTGTCGTAAAGCAATAACCGTGAACTAACAGAGGAAAGATACATTTTTAAGATGCGTACGTATCAGTACACACGAATATGATTTAGCAGATTTTTCATTCTAATGATTCGTTTTGTTTTGCATATTGAATATAATCCATATCACATTGCAGCCAAGTAACGTTTAAATTTAGGCAGCAATAGAATTATATTTTATAAATTGATCATTGACAACTTATTTTTAAGACTTGACGTTCAAAGTATTACCATCTTTTTAAAAAACGGTTTTTATTTTTAAATAGAATAATACTTAGTTTATATATTCTATGGGCGTAATGGGTATTATAATCCTATGAAGTATTACACTTTTGAAAAAAGAATATATAAATGTTTGGAATGTTTTGTCAGTTACGAATGATAAATGATTCATTTATAAGGATTTTTATTGTAAAATCTTTATTCTACTGAAGTCTTTTTAATTTTATTATAATATCATACTCTTTTTAAGTATATAATAAAACAAAATATTAAGGTAGTTAGATTCATTAAAATATCACTTCATTACTCAATTTTAACAGGGCTCTACTATATTTTTTAACCATAAAATTGTCTAACACTAAATAGGAAAGTGAGATATTATGAATTATTTACATTTCAAATCGTTGCAATTAAATAGTAAATTTTCTGTATTTATTTTTGTATAAGTAAAAGAGTGGAAATAATTACAGTATTATAAGAGAAAGGTAACGCAAAGAAGAATAACTTATCTCTTAAAAGATATCTATATAAAATTTGTAATATTTAAACAGAAATAATGTTTTGTACAACGTTGTAATACTATTTAGATATTATAATTAATATTGTTTAGTAGGAACCGTTAGTCAAAAAATATTTAAGTATACATACATATTTATCGAAATACTTCTACATATAAATTCAAATACATATTCATGTATAACCGATAAAAATTGAAAATACATACGGTGTGACTTTTAAAGTAGAACTTCAAAAATAAAAGAATGTAGAGTCGAAAAATTGACACTGACAAATAATATTGAAGTTCTGACGTGTACCTTTTGCGGGGTTTAACATATTTTGTTAACTGTTTGGTATACAGGTGAGATTCCTTGTTTCCCAGTTATAATATTATATTCTCTTAATATATCTTCTCGAATTAAATATTTTATAGTATTGTTTTAGTTTTATAATGGTTGTTGATTATTATAAAATAAAAGTCGTAGGTTAGTATGTCGTAGTGAGAACCGGCATAAAGCTTTGTATAAAAACATTCTGTTTAATATTTCCAGATCGTCGCACATAAAACACAAAAATGATAACAGACATTCAACTGGCAGTGTTCTCGAATATTCTAGGAGTATCAATATTCCTTTTAGTAATACTGTACCATTATATCAATGCCAATAGTTCCAAATGATTAAGGTAAGATGAATTTTTATTAGTATTGCACTCGATACTTGTAATTATTTATGATGTTTATTAATTTTATTTGAAAAATATTTTTGTATGATAAATGTTCAGAAATACATTTTAATAATATACATGTATGTATTTATAAGAGTTCGTAAAGTTGTTTAAATACTACCCTTGACTATTTCTGAGTTTTATGTTTGATTCAAAATATGTATATGGTTAATAGTTACGTTATGTTATGTATATGGTTAGTCAAATTTAAATAATTTTGAGGATATAAATTTTCTGATTTTTAATACAATAACTTATTTTTGATTAAAAATGAGATTGTTATTTCCGATTGCTTTTGTTTGATAGTGTTACTAATTAGAATTTATTTCTATTTTTCAGATGACCGTGGGTGGAGTCGACGGCCACAAGAATAATATTTATAATTAATTATTCCAAACATAATTGTAATAAGATGTCTTAATAATATGTAATTATAACATTTTGTTTTTTATTTTTGTTTTAAATTGAATATGATTTAAATTAGAGTGTAGTTGTAGATTTAAAATATGCCAACATATTATACTGAGTCATTACATGGCCATTTTAGGATTATAATATATATTTAAAGTATAGAACTTGGCAGGCCCTGGCTAAAGCTGTGAAATTGCCAGGAAGAAGAAGATTTAAAGTATGGAATTTGATTAATAATATTTTGAAGTTTTGCTTAAAAGATAGATATAGTTTAAAAGCACTATAAGGTTAATTGATTTGTTTTCTGCTAATTCTTCATATGGATTGAATATGTTGTTTTTTACTTCGAGTTAGGAAATAATTAAAGCAGTTTGGTTAAAGCAGACTTGAAGCTAAGGCGATAAGAGTGGCTTAAATGAGTAATTAAGAAAAATATCATTATAGACAATTAATTCTCTTATAATTATTCTCTTATACATGGAGAAATTTATTGTGTACATATATAAAATAATCAAATGAGTCGTGTTATACAATTACCCAGCATTGGTTTTTCCACAAAAATTATGAAATTGTTGACCATTACATTGTTTACTGTTGGCCTTATTAAGGTAGATGAATTTGCATCAGTGTATGTTAAGTGAGTGAATGAATATCCTTCACTTATACTTGTGTAATAATTAATTAACCGAAATCTCTGTTGCATCACATAACACAAGCAGTACCATTGCTTGGATCTTTGTGGTATGCGGCCTGAAACTTTTCCGACAAAAAAAAAAACCTTGACTTTCTATTTTATACCAAAGTGAGGACATACCCACTACTTGAGGGTACTTCTCAGTTAAGAGTTAAAGTCTTGTATTATAATCCTGCCATGTATACATTTGTTAACCATTAGTAAATTTTGTGCTATTTGTTTTTAAACTGTAAAGGCTACTCTTCTGGCTGCCCTCTCTGAATTTGTTTGTCTACTTGTAAGAATATCGTCCTAGGTGTTTATAGAGTTCAACGCGACCGCTCTTAGGTGCGTCTAGTTAATTGCATCATTATGTAGTTATATTTGGCTAGTTTTTGTATGATCAAAGACATCTATCTTAGATCACGAATTAATGCACTATTGTAAAGTGTAGGAACATTCTTTGTTCCTATAATAATAAATATAAATAATGAACAGGTGACCCCTGTTTGCCTACCATTACAAAGAGGAGTTATATGATATTTTAGCCATCATTTGTAGTTCCCTCCCTGAATTGGGGAAAGTAGAGTGTTCTCTTAATAGGGCTGGTATATTTCTAACTTAACCGTCGGTCTGATTCCTCGCCTCAAATTGAGCCATAGAACGACCATCGCCAGAAGATCATCTTCGTGAACAGACTAAATACGGTTTGTACAACGCCTTTCTTCCTCTACCTTCGCCACTCTATCGCCATAGAACTTGCGTTCAGGCCATTTATCAAGTAGTAATCTATATTTAAGTGAATGAGAGCACCACAGTCCACGTCACAGCACCACGTCCTCGTACTCAGCTTTCTGGTACTAGTGATTTGGGGGCCTAGTATGATCAAAAGGACAGTGAATTTAGGCTTTTGGCGACATGGTGCTAGGTTTTAACGACCATCTAGGTTTTAAGGACCTAGACATGCTCCCAAAAATATAATTCTAATCGCAACAGACACTGGGGCTAAAATGTTACTTAAATCGGAATATCCAGTAAAAATCCAAACATTCTTATTATTGTTACTTGAAAATAACAAAGAAGGAAAAACAACTTATTGTGTGTACACAACCCGCTAGCTTATATCTATCATAATACTTTTTATTAAAAACAACATTACCTTTTTTTAAGTTAAATTTAACTGGTCACACACCTTCCCTTTGTAGTTATTTTAATTTTATTATCAAACGACAACATTGAAAATTTCCTCATAATTAATTTCCTTAAAAACACAAAGAGCTCACTGTAGAGCTCATAGACATAATTTTCCATAATTCATTAATAAATTCACTAATTGGTTAATTAAAACTTATTCACATACGCATAGAAAGACATAAATAACAAAATGGCGAAAAAAATATTTGAACGCTATACAGAAAATTTAAATAGTCCCTTTCCATTTGACAATCAACTCAGTTTTTATGACGTTTTAAACAAGTAGGGTTAAGGAAGCAGTGTCACACATGCATAATTTTTGCACACACACACACACACAAACACATGTTAATGGTTCCTGTTTTACAACACAAGATTTGTAGATCGTCCTTGAGATTATTTGTAGGGAATATAAATCGAGTAGTTGTAATTACTGTTTCGTCTGGGAAGCGGCTCAATATGCTAGCAGCGGTCGGTCGAAATTGTTAATTTTACATAGGTGATGGCGCTTTAAACAATTTTACCAAATCGTGAATCAAATTACATATTAAACGTCTGTAACCATTTCTATTCCATAATGTATGATTAAGGTATTTAAGTAAGAAGTAAGTAATGTAGGTGTCTTTGTTGTATGGGCAGAGTATGCAGTGCACATTTGCAGCTATGGTGTGCACGCCACTGACTGCTATTGTATGTTTGAATGCTGCTGTAGTGTACGAATTTTCATTAATTAATATAAGAATTTCAAATCATCGCAGACTTATACATATTTTCTCACAGTGAAGTACTTTTTTAAACATTGTCGAGGAATTTTATATAAGTACATTATACATATATGTGATAGCACTTTTGAATAAATTTTGTATGGTCGCGAATAACAGTAACATATTCAGTTGTAGTGTTTTTTTCTGAATATATTCAGTATTACTAACAGCATAATACTAAACTCTGCACAATATGTTTGTTTATCAATCATTCAAAAAGCAGTTAATTCATTTTCCGCCATAAATCTAACAAATGAAACAGTTTAATACCAAACTTAAAGCACGCGAGCGAAGCCACTAGTAAAATCTACTTCGTGACTAAATAGTAAAAGGAGTATACTAAAAGATGTACGCGATAGTAAAAAGACGCATTAAATAAGGTTTTATAAGTTTATATTTTCTCGTCACTTCCATTTCGTAAAAATCTATATTATCTAGCTTTATTTTACGTGTAGAATAATATTTTAATGGTTTTAAATAAATAAATGCTAATAATTTTTAAAATAACTAAGAGATATTTATAAAAATGTTGATAAATAATTATAATTTGAAATAACAGACGTGAAAATTCCCGAAGCAAAAATCCGTCGTATCTTCCAAGGATTTAGACAGTATAGTCTGTGTTTTATGTGTCTCTTTCCACTAATAAATCGTATGTGTAGACCTATGCCTTACCTATGTAAGAATGGATACGCTTTTACTAAAATGGTACGTTTACCATCTAAGGCTATATGTATTTTCACTTATTATAAGAAAGTAAATTTTTCAAGCACCATAAAGTTATTAATTTAAATCTTAGTATAATACATAATGCTTACATTTTTTAAAATTATTTCTGTAATTAAACAAATTAAATAATTGTTGCATTTATCGGAAATTAATGTAATAAATATAATGTGATTGTATGAAATGAAATAAAATATTGACATTAAGTAGGTGTTTATGAAGAATGACAAATACATATGACAGAAAAGCACGGCATGAATTAAGCAGCACCGAACATAACTATGATAGAAAAGAAGGTTGTTTATTGTAAAAAAGAGGTTTGGTTTAAACTGGACTTTTTTATTTTTATATATTATATTATTTAATCTATAATTTGAGTTTACTCTAAAGCCGATCTGTAATAATTTCTTATAGAGTTATAATAGAACAAACGATTTCCATATTTTATTCTTTAAAATATTTACAAGTATTAAATCGGCTCTATATTATTTATTTTGTGTTTTAACAGTCACACAAAAATAATAAGAGTGTGTTTAAAATATTTTAAAGTTCATTATTGCATTACAAATAATAATTTTAGGATCTTCCAATAAATTCTAGTCTTCTTCTTATTCTCAACAAGATTATTATCTGGTGATAAACAGAAGTCTACTTTTTACATACACGTAGTCTATAAAAAAAATATAAAATGAATGATACAAATATGATATTATCTGTTTTAACATAAAAACAAGGGCATGTTATATTTTTCAGTAAAAAATAACTCGCCTGCCTGTAATTGGTTTTTCGTGGAATTATAAATTCAATTTAAAAATCATGTCAACCCAAAAGCAAGCAAAGTTTTCTCATAAATTAGCGTAGCCTGTGTCGGATATAATTATACAGGGATGGGTAATCAACTACAATTTGGGTCGGCCATGTTAACACGCCCTCTGGTGACTGAAACCTACAAACGTTTGTTCAATGGCACACGTATTCATCGGAGAGCTTATCTCTTTATGCATATATATATTCCACTATAAGCTATCTGTTTTCACAAAGATTCCCTCCGTATCTTTACCGAAACTTAAATGAAAGTCGTATTAAAAATGTAATAAATTAAGACTTTCAACGGAAAAAATTGTGAATAAATGGCTGCTTGCTAAGATTGCTTTTTATTGCCGCCATTATTGCCGTACTGTATAATTTATCGCACGGTCAGTTTCATTCGGCCTGAGGGGGCGATTATCGAAACAAAAGATTATCTGTGATTCTTGCGGCACAGACTAATGCTTTTTCATTCAATACCCATATTTAAATTCTTATCTCTCATAACTTTATATTACAGTAAAGAATTGCTGTTCAAAATGTATCGAGTATGCAAAGTAAATGATTATGGATATAATTCATGCATTTTCTTAATGGGGTACTTTAAATATTGCGTGGACTAATAAATAGTTGAATTATAATATACGTATAATGCACTCGGCGTTACCGGTCCCAACTCCTATGTTCGCTTGACTTTTAATTAAGACCAAGCCTTGTTTATTATCTTTTGCCAGGAGCTAGTGTTAGTGGCTGAAATCTAGAATTTAAAACATGTTTCAACTCATAAAGTCATGGAATGGTATTGTTAAATATTTTTGTATTATTTTTGTTACATTGAATATAAAGTGTAAGTTGTTTATTATGAGTACATACTTTTGATGTCTGATCTATTAACTCTTATTTGGATTTTTTATAGCGTCAGTTTGGGCCGTGAGACGTCTCGGGGGAAATTAGGGAAGACGCCGCGATGCGCCAACAGTCACTACAAAACACCCAATTTTGAAGTTTAAACTGACGTCGAGTGACTGGTTGGTGTGTGGTTACTTTTTAATGGTCAAATAAAAACTAACTAAAATCGTTTTATTATTTTGAAATGCTCCATGTAAGTACTCACGAGTTAATGTAAATTATTTCACACATAGGGTTTTTGCAAGTGATATGTTTATGAAGTCAAACTTCTTTACTCGCGCTTGAGGGTAAGATTATGAAAGCGTTACGAAAAGTGTGATCGGGCGAAGCTAATGAAAGTGAGTAGCAGATATAAATTAATGAAGATAGATAGAGTGTCACGGTTCATGGATCATCATCATCAACATCATCATAACTGATGGATTCATGGTTGCATGAAGAGGTGGATGGATGGATGCATGGTTGGATGAAAAGGTGGATGGATGGATGGATGGATGCATGGATGGATTCAGGGCTGGATGAATGGATGATGGATGGATGGATATTTGCAGGCATGGATGGACGAATAGATGGACGTATGGATGGACAGATTCATGGATGGATGGTAATTATGTTACAGAAAGAAAAAATTGATGAACTATATAAAATGATTAATAAATCTTTTTTTAAGTGTATTTTTATAATTTAAAAAAAAAAGTTTTCAATTGATGTTACATCAGGTTAAAGAAACAGTGAGAAATAATTCTATTTATTCGTAAATTTAATAATTCGAAAGTTATCAAAATAAAATTTTGATTTCAATTAATACAATTTGTACTTTTGTATGTCTTTTTTCGTTTCACATTTTAATTTTGTCGAAATAATTAAAACAATTAATTAATGTTTCATCTCGAGACTCAAATATAATAATGGTCCCGGCGAAATTAAATCATTCTGTGTACGAAATTATATATTTTTTAATATCTGTTTTTCATGTTATTATTGTCACATAAAAATAGATGACTATACATTTTTATTAAAAGCGTTATATGAGAATTTCTAAATTAAGGTATCTAAAAATATTGTCACAATATATTTAAAATCTGCTTATAAATTATAATTAAACGTTGTTTCATGTTTGCAATTTATTTATTATATATAGTGAAGTATTTTTTTAATACAAAACTCTTGTTTAGATATTTCTCAAAGAGAATTTTTCCTAAGGAAGAGGCTTTATATTAACAGCTCATAAATATTTAATATGACTTTATAACGTTATCAGAAGTGTGTATAATGGAATGAACATGTACACTCGTGTATACAGGGTGACTGGTGAATTACTATCAATATTTAAGGAGAATACTCGGTACATGATTCTCATTCGAATTATGTAAAAAAAATAGGTACTTAATTTTTGACCAAATTTCCGTATAAATAAATAAAGCGTTGACACGTTCCAAGTGTTCCAAGTGTGGAAGCGTGCGGCGGCGTGCTGATACAAAACCACGCCCCCGCCGCGTGTGTGTGAGTGTATGTGTATACCTAATCTGTAGGGTGTTCATACGATGCGTAATTAATTACACAACTTTTGGTTAACTTTACTTAGAAGTTTATTAATATTTATGTTATATTAATTTTTATTTTGTCATATATGATCGTCAAATATCACGTTCTTAAATATCGATAGTAATTCACCAGTCACCCTGTATACACATATAGTGTCCTTATATTGTATTTTGGAATGGATATATACGTCCACACACACACATAGACGTGGTAGAGCCTAGCTGTGGTTAAGTTACTACAGCTCGAACATGGGCTGGCTCGACCGGGGAAGTACCACCCTCTCACAGAAGATCGGCGTGAAGTAGTCAGTAATGACTCCGTTTCGTCCGATGAGTGAGAGAGCCGGTTGCCCTTTCCCTTTTCCCAACCTTTCCTTGTATTTCCTTATCCCCACCCTTCCCTATCCCTAAAAAAAAGGTTGGCAACGCATCCGCAACATATTTGTTGCGGATGTCCATGGGCGACGGTAACCACCTTCCATCAAGTGGGCCGTCTGTTCGTTTGCCACCTATAACATAAAAAAAAAGACGTACACACACATACACATATTATATATAAATGTTATTCTGTAATTTTCTCTGCTCTTATATACATTATTAGCTTAATTTTTTAAATTGTTTACGTATATAAATATCAAATAACTCTTAAGTTTCATTCTCAACTCAATTCATTTGTAAAAGTGGTCCATGGCATACAAAGTTTTTGAACAAATACAGAAGTTGTGTGAGATTAGTGAATTAGCGATTTTTAACTTCTTAATAAACAGTTTGATTTGAGTGAAATATATTTAGGATTTTTTTAAATACAATTAATAGGAATTTTATTGTCTTTTTAGTATTCCCTAGTTCTTTGTTGATTATTAAATAGAACGTGTTTTATTATTGGGCAATGATAATCCTGGAAATGTTTGTAACTACGCTGACAATAAAAACCATGGGTTTGGAGAAGTTACTTTTATGATAAAACAGTGACGTTCTCCATCATTAACACAGTGTCTGTTAAGAAAATACAACAAAATCTAAGTTTTCTTATGAATGTAACATTATCATATCTAAAACTCTCCCGAGTATTCATTTAAATGAAACTAATATTTTTCGGATATACTACGCATGATTTATTTTGTGTAAAAACAATTTATGTAACTGTAACAGTCCTTTGTATCTCAAATGGTATGAAATGTTATAAAAATCGCTCGTTTTGTACCTTTTAAATATCTCTCAACTGAATCAAGAAGTATAGAACGTCATTATTCCTGTGTCTTCTATGTTGAACATGGAATATAAAGTTATAGCTCACAAACTTATCAAATAACTCTTTTATCGTATTTTCAAAAGATACACGCGGCTGGTTTTTGATTGGAAAAAAAATTAAACGATACACATTCGGAATAGCAATTCTATATTTTTTTCGTCTGTTTCAAGTGTATACCTTTGTACGTTCGAGCGATCCGATAAAAATTCTATTTTCTCTTTGATATCATATTTACCATGTGGGCTTTACCGTTATTATCTATTTTTTTTTACGTCGGCCTCATATTTTTCCATAAATAAAACCAACATCGCTGTTCACGAAATTCAACTATCACGTTCAATATATCTTTATTAATGGCCTGCTTTTTTTTTTACGAATGAAACATTGCAGTGATTTAAAGTCTGTACTTAGTTTTGAAATTCATATTAAAAATGTAATTCATATAATTATCCTATACATGTAATTATCTGCTATTTGAGACAAAAAACAAAAAATTACTTAATTAAAATGTTACAAAAGATAGGAGAGTTAAAACTCATTCTCATTATAATTATTATACATATGAAATATTTTTAAGCTGTTACGTCAGATATATATTTTTATTTCTGCTATGGCTTCAAAGACTTCAGTGTGAATAATTTATTTGATATTAGAACTGATTTTTTCTGCAAAATGGATTGCATATATATCAGACATTAAGTCAGTGGTTAAAGGGCCCGCCTCTTGTTGACGAGGCCGCGGGTTCGATCCTGGCAAGTACCAATGTGATTTTTCGGAGTCATATGTACTTTCTAAACACCACTGACAAACGATGAAGGAAAACAGCGTGAGGAAACTTAGACTTATAGTTTCACAATTATTAGTTTGAAATCATCAACCCGTCTTGAGCAAGCGTGGTGATTAATGTTCAAACCTTCTCCATGAGAGAAAGAGGCCTTTGGTCTATGTTCTATAAATATGCACTCTTAGTTACTATATAAAGGAACAGTTGTCAAACATAGTCCTGCAACTCTGAAACCTATGACGCTTTATTTATTTCAAATTAAATATATTAATTTCAGATACAGTTACATAGTTCTGCGAAATTTAACTGAGGAAAGATATAGTTGTGTAAACATTAAAATAAAAAATAAATGAACGATCAGAATTTCGAGTATTTATTATTATGGCTTCTGACTTTTAAATATAAAATTGTCAAGTGCGAGTTGTAATCGCGTATTAATGTTTATGTAAAACGATTAATAAAATCTCTCATCGTATAGACTTCTATAGGGAAATGTAGATAATTTTTTCTTTAAACGGTTTTGTGCTAAGTTTTGTGTTCACTATAGCTACAACAGAAATACCTATATGATCTGCAAAAATGTCTAGTGTCATCACGGTTCATGAGCTACATCGTAGAGAGAAACGAAAAGACAGCGGACTCACATTAATAAGGTACCGTTTTGCCCTTTTGTTACGGAACCCTAAAAATGAGTCAACGGATTATGTTGTATACAAGGGCCTTTTGAACAACATTTATTGTACTTAAATCGTACATATTATTATTGAAAAATTATAAAATAACAGTCTGTTATTTTATAAAACTTATTCCTTGCCTTATACTTTAGTTCAAAATTTATACAGAAACTTGCATAATTGGGTAAATTATATTTTAAAACACATTTGTAAGTTAAAATACAGAACTATATAAATGCAACAATCCGTGTAAGTTCCTGTAATGGATGTTTCTATTAACTGGTTGAACTAAGGAAATACGAAACGAATAAAAGTTGTAAACATAACACGACAAATAAATAAGATCGAAAATATTAGAAATAATTAAATTGTCGATAATATTGAAAAGAGTTTTACAATTTTTATAATTAAAACTAGCTCTTTACCTATGATTGTTTATTCAATAAAATTTAATATTGTATCAGAAATCATTTAATAAAACATCATTGTAATTGAAAAAATATATACTCGTACGTTTCAAATACTAAGATTTTAGTATGTACGAGGCAAAATATTCATAAAAACTTTAACTTTCTCTCCCTGTCATGTGTTAATGAATAACGTTTTTAAGGTACATATGTGTTTTTGATTATTAATCAATATGAGTTTAAATTAATCGAATTAAATCTTAAATCTTGCTCAAAATCTGGTAGACTTGATAGTCTATTACAGTACAATTTATCTGCAGTTGAAATGCTTTATTCGTTTGTAATAAAGTAACCACACACCAACCAGTCATTCGACGTCAGTTTAAACTTCAAAATTGGGTGTTTTGTAGTGACTGTTGGCGCATCGCGGCGTCTTCCCTAATTTCCCCCGAGACGTCTCACGGCGAACCGCAAACTGAAGCTATAAACAACCTGTACCGTATTTTTTTCTAGCGTTCAGTTTCGCCTCATATTCTGTTACGAATTTTACTAACGAAAACTATTTAGTCAAATAACTACATTCTCTCAACAAGTCTAACAGACAAAATACAACAGCTTCATACAGAAAATTATCAGATATTCTGGTATATTTAATGATTACTTCATAGAAACATTCTCTCATAGTTAATCTAGGCTACACTTATAGTATTAGATTTCATCCGCAACTTTGATCGCTTGTTAGAACTTCCGAGTTCCTCTATTATAGAAATTTGTACAACAAAAGTAGACCATGATACCGACTCTCTAGATAAGATAATATGTAGTATCCGAATTCAGCCGTGTTTGTGGAGAAGATTAAAATAAGTAACATTAAGACTGATTATATTTATAATGCTACTTCAATTATTTGAATTAAAATACTTGGTTTCTTGTCATTTTGTGTATAAACATTTATTTGGTCGACTTTGAAATTATATATCAAATATGATTTCAATCAAGTTATGCAATACAATGTATTGATATTTTATATTAATACAAGATATTGGAGTTTGTAATGTTTTTTCTTCTATCGAACAGAATTAAATATCCTATGTCCGTCTCCTGGTTCTAAGCTATCTCTCCACCAATTTTCAACCATATCCCTAAAGCCGTTCTTTAAGTATAAATAGTGTAAACTAACACGAGTTTCTTATGTATATACAATATTGTGATACACTGAATGTCCAATGTTGAAGTTAATGTGTTTTTAAATAACAGATGGTAAGTAACAAATGGTAAACCAAACTCCTTTCCACACCAAGTTTCGTAGGGAATACATTTCAGACGCCTACCTACTTTAATATACCTGCAACTATCTTCCGCGGTCCAAGTCACGAGTGACAGCGATTTAAACGTTCTTGTTTTGATGGCGGTGAACGAGATGTTCCATCATGTGGTAGGTTACCTTGTTGTTTGTTAAAACTGTTATAAATAAGCATAATAATAGGCTATTTGTTAAGACATCGAAATTAGATAAAAGATAGTTATTTTATATAAATAACTTCTATATTTATATAACCGGTGAATTCTGAGATTTGTGAGTACGATAATTATTTGTTAATTCAAAAATCAGTAACAAAAAAAGAGATATTATTTCAGTGTGACATGTTGTTTAATTAATTTTTGTATAAATTTTATACTCAATATATATACATAGATGTAATTTTTTTGATATCTAATAAAAATATATACTTATATTTTTAACATATATCATAATTATTACTTTAATAAAAAGATATAATTCAATTTCTTTTCAATATAATTTGTTTTCTATTTAGTGATGCCTAGGTTTTGTTAGTATCGCAATTTGACAATACCAGTACTCAATACCAGACAATACAATACTCTTACCTATTATTTACTATTTGACATTCAAAGTAGGTACATTTCCACTATTGGGAAAGTTTTGTAATTCTGTTCAATTTATGAATTATTATCTTATAATTATTATAAGGTAATATGAAATTTATTTTTAGTATATTTTATTATAGTCTAAACGCTCGTAACTTGCAACAGAGGGTTAAGACATGAAGCGGGCGGATATGAGCTGGCAGCGGATATTGCAACTGCAGGTACTGTACACTACACTGGCCGCATTTGGTTATGAATGTCGCTTCACTTGCTTGAACATTTCAACTTCTGTTTCATTTAACATAAAACGACTTATTATAAACAGATATTTTAACTTTTTTTATATATAAAAGCTACGAACCATCATCATACAGCATAATATTTAAAGCCGCAGAGTTCAATTCGATTCTAAGTCAACATTCAGAAGCCTAAACATGGGACATTACTTTGAAATATGGCGGGAGAAGCATTCCGTTCAAACTCCCGCTTTCAAATTTATAACGTCATAAATCAGGCTTATTCATAGGTGTTTTGTACATCTGAAACTCATATTGCGGCTCTCTCCCTTGGTCATTACGTGCGAACGAATGTTGAATTAAAGAGGACCCATTAAAAATCGTCATTCCGTTTGTTTAATGAAATTGTGTGTTACAATCTGTAATTATATTCAGACGGGTGCCCGGCCTTGGTTTTGATGTATGGACTTTTATCATATATGATTTTGGTAATATTACCTACCCCAGCTTTTCACAGTATCATTACTTAAATTTACCTGATTCGTATACTTTATAATAATTAGAATTATGATATATTTTAAAGACAATTTTAAAAAAGTACATCATTAGGTGAATTTAAAACCCCATTATGTTTCGCACATGCGCATCTTTTTTTACATCATCTGTCACCTCCGTGACAGTTTAATTACCGCTGACTGCTAACGTCACGTGAAGGCCGTCGAAAAACGCAATAAATTAATAAATGTATGTATATTCAGTAATAATATTATAATATATAATAATTATCAAATTTAGCTTAGTTATATTAATAAAAACGTTTAACTTATTAAAGCAGTAAATCTTCTCTTAAAGCGTATTTAGTGTCGTAAAGTTATCGTCGATTTATTTGATGTCTAGACAAGTACATATTCTAAAATATATTGCAAGTGAAATGACTAATAGTCAATACTTATGCAAAATATTGTTACTTTGTTTTCTCTGGCAATAACTTCGCTAATATAATATTTCATGCACAAAACCTATCAGCTGTTAACAACAAAAATGGAACTTTTACAACACCCACTAAAACTTTTTTATGGCTGGCAACACTCGTAAATGATATAAATAAAATATAACGCGGCAACACTGACACCGCGCCGAAAGCGCAATAATTTCCACGTTTTGGGTTATTCTAGAGGTTGGCTCTTTTCGATTATAATTTATAGCTACGAGCTTAGAGGAAGGATAAGTACAGACAGAAAACACAACGAAATATACTATAATTATATACACTACAATATAAAAAAGAATGGTTGTAATGGAAACAGCGATTATAATGTATCTGTAAAAATATCGAGATTTATTACATTGTGACTTTAAAGTTATTTAAATTAACTTGAATAGGTATATACATAATTTGATTTTCAATACGTCTAACAATGCATTGTTTAGTATATATCGTATTTTAACTTGTCCTCTGTCTGTATCTAAACATCGGGGGGTATAGAAAGTCATAAATGCTGTCATAAAATTGTTTGGCCAAACAGTTTCAGTAATAAGATCACGTTGTACTGCTGATAAAAGAGTACTCGTAACTGTGCCTGATAAAGAACCTATCGGAGGAATAGGATTTATTTAATTGACGGTAATAAAATGGACATAAAAATGACATAAAAACTATATTTTTCCTTGTACTAATACAAATACTTTATTGTTATTCCATCAAACCGATCTATTTAATACTTCGAGCCTAACAAATAATATAATATTTGTTATTCAATTGACACGAATATGTTCTTATATGACGTTTATAACAACTTGATACTTACTGGGTAACTGGAACCATATATGTTTATTTATTAAACGTACTATATTATAAGAAATATAGTATAGTATGATATATATTGTATATAAGATAAGTGAGCTATGTTTTATCGAGCCATGGCGCGGGCGGTTCATTTAAAAATCACGAATCCCTTAGAAAAACGTTCAAAGTGGACTACGTTCGACCATAATGAACCCTTAACGCTAAAAGCTCTGAGTAGTTTTGGCCCTTTTGCTGCAGTCTTCCCATAAACTAGGGATACGGATTTTTCGGTGAGCGAAATACGTTCCGGAGGTATGACCGAAATATAAATTGCAGTTGAATTCACTTTTAAATGGAACGGTAACATTTATATATACTATTCTATTTATACTGAAAGCATTTCATAACAACGATTATTTTTATTGACTATGACTTAGTTCGATCGTATTTTTACCGAATTTATATTATTGGATTAAAAATTGATGACGGGAATTCAAATAGTGGTGACATTTGACAGGTAAGTTATGTCAAATGATGTAGATAATAGTATAACGTCGAAAAACAATTATAACTTTTATAAAACAGAATATAAATTATGTTTATTATAAATTAAAGAGGTTTTTTATATTTTTAATGACGTCTAGGACCAGAAGTAA